GGCGCGGTTTAGTGGTTGATCTTGAGGCTTTTTGGGCTCCGAGTCTGGGCTATTGACGAGTTGGTTCGTCATCGTCCAGGGATTCTGCGACTTGCCATCATCTCCTCGGCTCGTCATCCTGCTTCCGTGTACGTGTCGGCAAAGTTGCCGCTTGTTGTAGGATAGTATACTCGTTCGATTATGGGTCTCGTAGATGCTCACGCATAATGTTTCTGATTCGCTCTTGCTAGCTGCGCAATTCCATGTTTGTAATCACTTGGAGATCGACTAGCGCAAACGATAGCCGGTGGATGTTTGAGGTGTTGTGTAGGAATTGTGCAACAAAGTCTGATGGTCGCAGATTTTGAGCGACGATTTTCTTAACCGTTGGACCGATTGAAGCGCTGGAGTTAGCAATGGTGTTGAATGACGAACGTTGATGCCTTGGAAGCCGTTGATTGAAAGGCGCCGGCCTGACAGGGTCTGACACGCAGCATTACTAATTAGGAAGATATGTGGGTCTAGCGGCAACCCCCGTGGCTAAACATTGAACCTGCAAAGCGCAACACACGACACGACCTTGTCAAGCGTTCATCTCAAGACTTAAAGGATGCTCGTGGATTTTCTGGTTCCAAGAAAACGGCTTTGAGTGATGGAGATACATACTGGCCTCGCCTGCGATTTGTCGCGATGTACTCAAGCATCTCAGTCATTTACGGGGTTGGAAAAATAGCCAGGAGTACGTACGCGTCAGGCACCCAATACTACTCACATGCGCGACTCGTGTTGAGGTCCAGAAGAAGCAATATGATAAGACGGAAGTGTTGCGGTAGGGCCGCCATAAGTGTTGATTCATTGGCAGTGTGCGCATCATTGTCAGCATGTTTCATTAAAATCACGGCGAGCGCTACGTCGGTTCAGGGTTGATGTACTGGATGAAGAGTATCGCGCCTGCGTGGCTGGTAAGGCGTCCATGCTTTACCCGACGGCAAACCTTCGTGACCGTAGGGCGCGACTAGCGCGACTGGAAATATAAGACTTAATATCACCAAGCTAGTGGTGGAATGTCATCTACAGCCAAAACCTTCTGTCACTTTCAAACTCTTTGAAGCTAACTAAATGATTCATTCAACATATCATGCAGTGTTCGTTGCTACAACATCTCCCGTTTAGCCATGGACCTCTACCAGTCAAAGACACCACTGATGCGCATATCGCCAATCAACATAACCAGAACCAAAATCTCTCAAGTGCGTTACGCGGGATCTGCTCAGGCCAAAACTCCGCATCAAGTGCCGCTTTACCGCTCCAAATATCTGCCTCCGCTGGGTTGACCATCTTGGTCCTTTTGAAGACTTTCCAGAACGCAAACAAGAGACCGAAGATCGCAACACCAATGTATGCTGTGAAGAAGTCGGTCAACTCATCGGGTCCCCAAGGTGTGGTGGTGAAAACCTTGAAGCCATTGAAGAGAATGATGAGAGCGAAGTAGGTAAAGGCAGTCCATGCGACGTAAGGTTGCCATTTGCTCGCGAAGACCATGGTGCTGCGATCAACGTTCTGGGCAATGCATGCTTTCCGGAACCGAGTGTATGTGTACGTGACAGTGCACCAGGTGAAGAGCGATGCGATTGTGGTTAAGTTTTGGAACCACCCGAACACCTTGTTGGCACCAGCGCTGACACTCATGTATGTGAGTAGGGAGATGGAGGCAGTAACTGCGACAGCGTAGATTGGTACACCCTTCTTGTTGCACCTGAGAAGGAACTGGGGAGCCTGGCCGTTTTGGGCAATACTGAAGAGATAACGGGAACCGGTGTACAGGAAAGCATTGCCGGAAGAGGTAGCGGAAGTCAAGATGACAGCGTTGACGATATGGGGAAGAACTGGAATACCAGCATTCTTCATCGCAATGACCCAAGGCGATGACTGGGCACCTTTGGCGTTGTCATCGGTAAGTTGAGGGTCGTTCGAGCTGATGGTGGTACCGATGATGAACGATCCTAGAACATAGAAGAACAGGATGCGCCAGAAGACACGTCGAACGGCCTTGGGAACTAGTGGAAGTACAAGGTCAGTGGCTGTCGTATGCAGTTGATACAAGGGGATTGCTTACTGTTCTTGCGAGGGTTGGCGGCTTCACCAGCAGCAACTGCAACCATTTCAACACCACCGTAAGAGAACGCAGCGTTGACAAGGGTAGACCAAAGACCGGTGAAGCGACCAGTACTACCAGTACCAACGTATTCCTTCATAGCGCCCTCTTTCCAATAGCGGAACCCTCGCCTGTCATGGTCTGGTCCTCCACCAAGCATGATTACCAGACCAGCAATGAGCAGTCCCAGGATCGTTATAATCTTTATGGACGCGAATATGAATTCAGCTTCTCCGTAAATCGAAACAGCGAAGATGTTAAGAAAGACGATGATGACAATGATGATGGAGATCCATATGGCAGGGTTGTACCTAGTGGCATATTAGTTGTTGTCGCATTCGGAGTAGTGGTGGTACATACTTCTCTTCTTGATCCCAGAAGTTGATAAGCAGAGCGGCAGCAGAGATCTCAGCGCAGAGCGTGATAGAGCTGTTGTACCAATTGTTCCAACCGACGGCAAAACCAAGAGCAGGATCCGCATAGCGAGCAGCATACTGGGGAATAGCACCGGGTAGGGGAAGCCAAGTGGCCATCTCACCGAGGCATTGCATCATACCGAAGACAGCAACACCTGTAATGGTGTAACCAAGGAGGACAGAGACAGGACCAGCGTTGGCGAAAGCTTTACCGATACCGAGGAACAGACCGGTACCGATGGTACCTCCGAGTGCGATGAACTGGATGTGGCGCGACTTGAGGCCTCTCTGAACGTAGCCATAGTCCTCGGCTTTCTGAACTGAGCCGTACACACCAGCGGCCTCGTTGATGGCATTGCCTTTGGTATCGGTGACGTCTCCAACAGCATGGTCAGAAGGCGTCTCGCCAGCGACAGCATACTGCTGTTTCTCGTAGTCGTTGACCGACATATCTGGTGTGCTGTTGCGACCGATATGGGGTGACAGGCGGATGGAAGCACAAAGGAGGTGTGCCCAACAAAGTAGAGGACCGAACCTGAGTCTATCAGGGACAACAGGCCCAAGGGATCACAACAAGAGTAGAGGCACGAAAGATGATAGCCTTGCAGGCCGGGAGAATGGGGTTATGAGAACGATCTTTATACCTAGGCGCCTGCGACAGCCGCCTCTCGACTCTGCAGCATATCTATCCCAACACCAGGGTACCGCACACAAAAGAAGAGCATGGGCTGGATCACAGCGGAGACTGTCATTCTGCAGGCTAGTCGCGGCGCAGCTCCGGAGATCCTGCTGGTCAAAGGTGTGATTGGGAGCAAATGAGACGAACTTCTTGGCAGACGGTGTTGCCGAGCAAACACGCGGTACCGCCATGAACTATCTAAACCTCATCCGGAGGGTGATAAGGATGGCACCACAGTACTGGGGTAGATGCTTGGGTGATAAGCTTCGATACAAGCCTTGTCTGTTCAACGAGGGGCACAGCTTCCTGTGCAACATGTCTGCTTGCGGTTTCCCGTACAACAACCTATTCACCGGCGTTGTCGAAACTTCGCGGGTACTGATTGTATGACATTTGTCAAAGGCACACTCTTTGGTTGACTTCAGAGACCTCGAACAGCACGCGACAGCGGAATGGGGCGTCGGGCGTTCCAACTCGCTTAAAGTGCGATTTGGCATTGAGACAAGCCTCAATAGCGTTGGAGCAAGCAGCTATTGCGGAGTCCTGGCACGCGCTAAGCATTTCTCGGCAGGTGGATCCAAGCTACAATCCATTGCAACCCATCACAGCAGATTCCACTATCGTGGGCTGACTGAGGATGACGCGACGGGTGTTGTCCGAATTGGACGCATTTCTAGAACGCCTTCTAGCGCGCGGGGGTACTAGGATGGTATTGCCACACCTCCTGGATCGCGCAATATATTCAAATTCTGGTAGGATGGTTGTATCGAGACGACCCAGCTGACAACGATTTCAGAGATGCGTGTGCTCTAGTACCTCTTCGATGGATGGCGAGAAGAAGGCGCGCAATGAGCGCAACAGTCCCCCACAGCCCTCCGCACTAATGGGGTTATTGCACGGACAATCTGCGCAATCTACCTTGCGAGGTGAATCGCCGGTCTGCACTGCAGGGGTTTGATTGGAGTCGTAAACCTGCAAATGACGGTGGCGACTCGTATATTGTTCTCAGTTGATGGCACAAGGCTCGCATCCATCCAATCATATGGAAGATTTTAGAGACACAAAGACCGGAGTGCTGTGTGATGACCCGAGCATCATCCTAGGCGATCTTTTGGGCAGGTGCGTGTATTCGAGGCGTGATACTTGCACATGTGATCCATGTCGCGAGCGTAGGAGTTGTGTCCTCGTCAGGCTTTGTACACTGATAAAGCTAGAGGCCGGTCACGACATCCAATGGAAAAGTATTCTAGAAGGTTTCAGGCGCGTAGACGCGGTGAGAATACGCCTCGTTCAAGCTACTGGTACCTGGCCATGCCTGGGTGCTTGACTAGATAAGCCGAGAAGCCACTACACTAGTCGCATTGACACAAGACCAACGGGCCGACCTTATCGAAGACAAAAGAAATCTTTGGACTTTGCGGGGTGATACATGCAAAGTTCAAGTCTGCGAAGTAGAGTTTGCGTGAGGGTTTAATCTAGTCAAGTATCAGATTCTGGACTTGTTACATTATGGTATGAATACACACAATCTTATAAGCCGCCAACCAAAGACGCACTCATTGTCATAAGCATGATTGCATATTGCGTTACGAAATCGCAAGCATTCTCCCATTCTGTGTGCGCATACGCGAGACAAAGGTGTGCCGTTTTCCTCGAAGCGATCAGCTCTCTGGATCCAAGCATTATGGCGTGGCGATTGTTGTTGAGGTGCGTTCGACAAGCTACAGCAGATAGACGACATGTTGTGCCATTGACCCAACCCAAGCGCGTCTTAGCCAGGTCCGATTTTGGGCATATCGTGGTGTTCGCTCAGTCCACTCAGATACTTGTTCAGCTCCTCTACCTTCTCCTTGTGTGTTTTCACTCCTTCCTTCTTCAATCTCTCTTCCAGCCTCTTCCTTCGCATCTCGTCGTGTCGCCTTTCAGCCTCCGTCTTCTGTCTTCCACCGCCCTCTCGTATCGATCTTTCTACGGCCTCGGGCGAGATTGAGCGGCCAGGTGTGCCTGAAGGTGACTTGTGCGCGTCATTGTCGGTAGTGGATCGTTTCGCGACGTCGATGGATGTGTCTTCAGAGGGTTTTGTAGATTCGGTAGTCTTTGGCTTCTTCTTCTTCTTTTTCTTGTCAACGCCGCCGCCTTTGAGCTTCAGAGCACCACCGCTGGCCGCAGTGTATTCCGAAGACGGCATCGTGGTGGTGCGACGATGTGTGGTTGGTAAGCAGCTTTACATTGAACGCGAGATTGATCAACGGGCTGACACGTGACATCCGAAAAAGTGGGGCCGACACCACCGCGTGTATCGGAACAAACAACACCAGTGCATCTGAAGCACTTTAAGCCACCCTGGAGAATGCCGTGGTAGAGTCTTGCCCTTTAGCAATGCTCGTCAGTGATCTGCGCTTGCGTATTTACGACAAAAAATCATGCAGCATTTCGTCGAGTTGTACGGAACCGCCGCCAATTCCACACAGGCTCGGACTTGGGATTGAGTAGAAACGACCACTGCTGTCAATGCGATAGCCGATTTCCTTAGAACACCACAGTGGATAAAATATGGTACACACGCCACCTGCCTGGTTTTGTGGCTGGCTCCTACCTACATACTCTGAGAGGGCGATCTACTTTTCGTCATCTGAGATATTTGACTCGATAGCCTTACCATTCACCTGCACAACGACTTCAATGTACTCGACACCTAATCAACGCATCTAAATGTACATGTATCGGGGAATCTATCGAAGGAGGCGGCAAAACAGGTCACACTGGGCGGGGTTTCGATACTAAAGCTAAGAAGATAGTTACTCCTCTTCGACGAATTCAAAGATGATTTTCTAAAAGAATATATAGACACGGGTTAGATTTGCTACGACAAAAGCAATAGCTGGGAATTGAGGTTACCTAGGTAATCTATCATATAGGTGGCGTGGCAGGCGTTCTCTTCTGCAAGACCCCGCGACTGATTGAACACTTTTCGGACATCGAAGACCATAGTAGAAGGGCGATACCTAGAGATATGAAGGGAAATGAAAAGACGCATGAGACGAGATGCGATGCGAGATATCAGAAGACATCATGAGATACTGTTTTCGCGGTTTGAAAGAGAATATACTGCAATGATAAGCGTGCGCCGAATATATGGGTATGTAGATCTTCATTTAGTTCTCAAAGACAAAGACTCTAGTAGAAAGGGAGATGAGTAGAACGGTGCACTGGCGAAGGACGCATATCTGCATAAGCTCAAGGTCTGATCGCACTTCGGAGAGCTATCTAGTGATGCCAATGCTTTCTCTTTTATCATCGATCGGACTCAGATGGCGTGCTTGCACGCTCCCAAAGCCAAGGAAAGACACCCTCCCTATACATGATAGGAGTAAATCATCCTTGCCTTGGAGGCATGTTTGATGTTTCCAGGTTGTGGTTTTCACACAAGACTGCTGTTGCTTTCTTGACATAGTCAAGAAGAAAAAAAGTATCCCAACTACAGTCCACCAAAAAAAACTAGACACTGTCTAATACACACAGTACTAGACTTCATCGAATCGTCTCGATCAGCATGGGACTCGAACCCACAACCTTGCGCTCGCAGATATAGTTATAGGAGGCGCACGCGCTACCATTGCGCCAACCGACCTGTTGCCATGAAGCATACTTGCGGTTGAAGAGCTACATATACTTATCAATTTAAGATCTATCCTTACAGTCTACTTCAAGCCTCTTGTCTGATGCTTTGGAATGCTCCATGGCTGTGGATGGTTGCTTTGCTGGCAACAGTGAAATTTTCGCAAACCAAGTGGATGACAATGGTGGGTATCTTTTTGGCCGAGAATTCAAAGCAAGGCCGTAACGAATCTGTCTGAATCTTGTATGATATATTGATACCCTTGAACGCAAGGCTATAACCCGATCTATTCGAAGGACGTCTGTTACTGTATGTGTGCGATGGTAACAACAACACTTAGCGTTGCACACGCCTAGATAAGATTAGACAGCAATGACGCGATCGCAATTTTTGGCAACCTAAGCCCCTTGTGGCCCAAGAACAGAAACAGTCATGTAACACCAATCTTCGATCCATATTCATAGAATCGCTCGCTTACAAAACGTGAATATCGCCGTGGAGTATAGAAGTCGTAATTATCTTTGTGTGGATTCACGATCGTTGCTCCCCGGCAAGCATCGGCGACTGTCTATTGCAGCAACCATCCTTGTCTTCGTGACACACAAGCAAAAGCAGTCCGAGAAAGAATTGTGAGACCGAAACGAAAAAACGCAACATCAACAGCCATGGTACGCAGGGGAAGCTCTTGTTTAGCCTAGGCTAAAAATGTGGTTGAGATGGTGGCTGATTTAGGAGTGGTATTAGGTGCACGCCGATTCATCAAATTTCGCCGATGGAATGAGTAAGAAGGAGGTTTATGCACAAGTGCTTGAACAAGCGAGAGCGTTGTTTGATGGGCAAAGGAATTGGGTAAGTTTTATCAGTCGTTAAGAGAGGATGGGATTACGTTGCTAATGCTTCATAGGTTTGGTACGTTCATGTTATTATGCAACTGCCTACTTGGAGCATCTCTAATATATTATGAACAGCAACTTCTCAAACACAGCATCGCTACTTTGGCACGCATATCATTCATTGCCTTCTCCATCCTCCGCAGTCAACTGGGCGGGTTTCTACTTCACATCGCCTACAAATTCGTCACAACTACTGCTGGGCCCCTTCCAGGGACAAGTAGCATGTCAGGTGATTAACTTCGGTCGTGGGGTATGCGGAACTGCGGCAAAAGAGGCAAGGACGCAGTTAGTGGAAGACGTCGAGAAGTTCCCAGGACACATTGCATGTGATGGAGCGAGTCGGAGTGAAATTGTTGTTCCCATTGTACAAGATGGAAAGGTATGTGTTGACTCTCTGACTTCAAAGTGTTGGTATGCTGACACATTCGTAGGTCGTAGCAATTATCGACATAGATTGTGCGGAACTCAATGGCTTCGACGCGGAGGACCAGGAAGCCTTAGAAGAGTTGGCTGAGTTATTGGCACGATCGTGCGATTTTTGAAGCATGAGCGACGATGATCATCATAAGACAAGAATGGGTTGATGGCATGCTAGAGACGCCGGAGTGACTGTATGCTTTTGCGTATTAGCACTGTAGCCCAGCCGACAGCGTTTAGGTAACGCAACAAGTCTTAGCACACGAGAGAAGTATTATTGTATCTTCAGCAGAAAGTAGCATTTATGCAGACATCACAACAACATCCAGGTAATGCGAGCTCGATTCGAAGAGAGAGTGCCATTGTTTTTGGACAATTATAAGTAGTCATCAACTCATACACGTCATGAACATATCCGCAGCCAGATTACCGCGAAAAGGGACAAGACTAAAGTAAAGATGCAGCGCAACAGTCACTGGTAATGAAACAGTGGAAAGAGAAGAGACATTAGCACACCATGCGCCTCAGTAACTCCCAGAATGATGACCCAACACCGTTATGCACTCTTTAGTGATTCAAAACGCCCGCCTGCAGACGACATATGTAGCGCCGAGCCCGATGGCATGCTGTGCGACGAAGAATTGACTGAGACAAGAAACGAAGTGACGATGAAAGTCGTGTCCCAAGACGCCATGCTATAACTCCCGGAATGAAGATTGAGGATCAGAAACTCAGAATCCAGGGACGTGGCTCATGACTTTGGGCGGGAGATGGCATTGCCTAAGCTCCCGACACGACCACTGGTCTTCCGTACAGCAGACTTGCCATCGGTGCTCCTGCGCGAAGGGCTCGATCGGATCTTGCCCATGTTGATGCTGCCACTGCCGCTCTTCTCCTTTGGTGTCTTCGGCCGGATGCCAGCCGGTGCAGTGTTCTCGAGGTCGCTCTCTTCACCGAAGCCGAAAGAAGTGTGTGTTACAGATGTTTGGACGACAGACGTGGTGCTGAAAGCGCGGCGCTGCTTGTCCTTGAGGGTCGGTGAACGCTGAGGGGAGCGTGACGAAGTACGCCGCGCAATCTGGCGGAGATGGAATTCCTCGTCCGACTCACCATCGAAGCGTGTGATGTCTGCTCTGACCTCTGTATGCGACTTGGTGAAGGGCTCGTTCTCGTCGATGCGCTGTGGTGATCGGCCGTTACCGTAGAGCTTGCTAGTCTTTCGCGGTTGTCCCGGTGTCGGCGCAGGCAAGTTGTCCTCTAGTACTCCAATATGGCCCGAGTTGCTTCGCTCGTTCGACTCGATCTCACCGAGCGCAGCGCGCTTGGAAGATCCGTTGGGCGGTGTGAAGGTTTGCCCGTTGCTAGCAAGGCGCTGCTTATGCGGTGACTTGGTAGGCGTTGATGGCATCATCTGCGCGTACTTGGCCTTGATGGTGTCCTCGAACCACCACTCTCGGAAAGTACCTTGGTTGAGATGGAGCCAGTGCTGCTGGGGACCGACAACCATGCCCGGGCGCATGAAGCGCATGTATGCGATAATCTCGTTGGCGGTGAAGCCGTGCTTGTAGATCAGGTAAGCCCCGATGAGGCAGCCAGTTCGTCCAAGTCCAGCCTTGCAGTGAACTGCGATACCGCGCTTCTGCACCGTAATCATCTCATGTGCAAGGTTGACGAACTTGCGTACGAGTGACAGTGGCGGACATGTGCCGTCGTCGAAGATCATGTTCAAGTGCTGGATGCCGAGCTTGGTGAAGTAGGACGAGGAGTACAGCTCCGAGTTCAATCGTACAACGAGACCGACGTTGCGCGCGCAAAAGTGCGAGAGTACGTTCTTGAAGGGACCAGGGAGTCCAGATCGCTGGATCTCGGCGATGTTGGAAGGTAGCGTCGCGTATGTTGGTGATGATGTCGGGATCTCATGTGTAGGTTGTTGTTGTGGTGAGGCGAAGGCCAGAAAGTTGGGAGTGACCCAGTTGAAGTCACCCATGTCTACGCGCTCGAACTTCTCATATCTAGGACTGTTAGCGTTGGCTGTTTGGAGATGCGCGCGGCTCAGACGTACTCCTCGAGACTGAAGTCTTTCAGACCGCAAAGGCCTTCTTCCTTGGCCTTCCATACACCGTAGATGACGTCCTGGATGTTCAGGACATAGTCAGCCTGGCTGTAACCGGCATCGCGGAAGGGCATGCAGGGCGGATCCATCTGGGCAATGGGCGCCAGAGCAAGATGAGGTGGCCATGACTGGATGAGCACCATGTAGCATGCGAGAATGCAGGCAGCGTTTGCGCGACCTAGGCATGTTAATTTGTGCAATTGAACGGAGTAGATTTAGTGCTCTCACTCCTAGAGTCGGCGCTGCTCCAGAAGACGACAGCGCGGTCCTCGTTGGCTGGGTCGCCCAAAACTTCATGCAGCTGAACAGCGAAGCGGTAGAGGTGACCAATGTGCAGTGGGCCGAAGTCACCATGGAAGGCATTGTACAGGAGAGTCTTGTCGATACTGAAGTAGACAGGAGGATGCGCCTTGGGCCCTGCGGCAGTAGGTCCTACTTGCGCGCGTGATGACCGCTTGGAAGGCGACTGGCTTTGCTTGGGGTACGGAAAGGGCGTGTTGGCATCGGGCGGGCTTGTGTACGATGCCAGATAGAGTCGGTCTTGAATGTACTAGGAGGTCTCGATCAGAATGTGTTCCGCAATCGCTTTGTTTTGGTATGTGTTGTGATGCTCACCTCGATCACCTGACCATAGCTGGTCGTGGATGCGCGAGACATCTTGGCTACTCGATCGCGTGGTGAAGCCATGGGGAAGAGGAAGGTGCGATTCTCAAGTGTTGATTACAGCTGGGGAAGGACGGGGTGCCGACTTGGGACGAAAGCGGCGATGTCAGCAGCGCAGCGCAGGAGTATATGCGTCGTCGTTCTGTAGCTGGTAGCGGAGGTGCCGTCTACGCCTGCTTGTCCTGCTGCGGTCGGAGTAAGGAATAACAGTAAAGATGTGTGACGGGCGGATGGTTGGAGGTTTAAGCACATCCTCCATGTTGTTGTTGTTTACAGATGCACGGACCAGCCCGCTAGTTCCACTCCGCGGTTTCGGGATGCCCGTCAACGCCATCATAACAACTCTAGACGGCTGGTCCAAGCACCACAACAACACAACAACTGGTGAGGTCCTCCCTGTTGTTTACCCTACGCATTGCCTATACGTGACCTGGTACACATATTCTCGTTTGCCAGCATCTCATTTCCCGTCTACGACTCTGTCTGGTCCCGTCTCTTAGGAAACCAGCATCGTCAAGACTTGGACCTGCAGCTGTCGTCGTCGTGTCTGCATGACCTCACAGGGTCCAATATATGGGCTTCTAGAGGCTGCCTGCATCTCGATTGCTGCAGTAATCGCGGACAATTTGCGCGGCCTGCACTAGAGCCCGTCGACATCGCGATCGCCTCACCGCATACGGCCATCTTGCCGTTGTCATTTCTTTTTGTGTTACTTGGACCATCAACAGTAAGCAGTTGTCGTACAAACTCCGCAGAGTTGAAGCCCTGTTCTGGGAGATATCCTTGGCGACCCACATATCCTGTGTGTTGCAGAGTAGGAGTGGGCCGCGGCCGTGCGTTGTGAAGCCTCATCTAACATTTAAGGTTACAATGATCCGACGGGGCAGAACAGAGGGATGGCTCAAAGAGTCCATCGATGTGCTACCTACATGGGCTACGTTCAATGGGGTCAAGTTCAATGGTGTCAAAGTTGGCCCGCTACCAGGTTATGAGGACAGAGGATCAACCGTCATCGCCGACAAGAAGCTCCAAGGGGGCGCCGCTGAGCCTATGCTTGTCGTGCCAAAGGAATTGATCATATCTCGCCAGAACATCGAACTTCTTGCAAAGGCAGACCACCATCTTCGAGAAATTCTCGAAGCTCTTGGGGACTTTGGGAGGGTGTGACAGCCCCTTGGAAGAATCGAAAAATTCACAACACTAACGCAGTACAGACGACAAGAGGCGCCATACTTACATTTCTACTCTTACAAGCCACCATTTGCTGTCCCGAGACAAAGGGAGTTGGCGTCCTGAATCCTCTTACGGAATACATCAAGTTTCTTCCGGATGAGCTGCTTCCCACATTCTGGACCGAGGAGGAACGGGAGCTCTTAGTTGGAACCACGCTCAAACCTGCAGTTAGCGCAAAATTGAATGGGTTGCTGCGCGAATTTGAGAAATTGCGAACTGCGACAGAGTCAATCAGCTGGTGTAAAAAGTACTGGTGGGACGAAGACAATGGCATGTTGGACTTCGACGACTGGATGCGTGTCGACGCCATGTACCGGTCTAGAGCTCTGGAGTTTCCAGGTACTGGTGACTGCATGGTGCCCTGCATTGATATGGCAAATCATGCATCGGGAGATGCAACAGCTGCCTTATATGAGACCGATGGGAACGGAAATGGGTTGTTACTACTTCGGGAGGGCAAACATGTCGAACCTGGCGAAGAGGTTACGATCACGTAGGTCATCCCAACACATCACACGAAACCCGCTCACCAGATTAGGTACGGGGACGACAAAGGCGCATGTGAGAACATCTTTTCGTACGGATTTATCGAAGATACAATGACTTGTGCGAAAGTCATGTTTCTGGACCTTGACATCCCAGATGACGACCCCCTCAGACCTGCAAAGATTTATGTTTCAAAGGTTGCACCAGGCTTCCGCATCTTTGAGAAGGACGGCAACATAGAATGGGAAAGCGACTTCGTATGGCTTGTTGTAGTCAACGAAGAAGACGGCCTAGACTTCAAGATCAGACAAACGACGGACGGCAAAAGAGAAATCCAGTCTTTTTGGAATGAGCAAGAACTCGACACGGTCAAGTTGCGGGAACACCTTGAACAGGACCCAGCATGGGATGTCTTCCGACTCCGTGCCACGGTACTTCTACAAAACCGTGTTGACGCACAGATCGACACACTCAAGGAATCAAAGGGCGCTAGACGGGACAGTACCATGCGGGACATGCCGTGGAAACTTGCGGAGCGACTCCGAAGTCTGGAGCTAGACATGCTCGAGCGTGCTGCATCCACACTTGATAGCCAGGTAAGACTATTGCCTTCTCATACCCCGCGCTCGTACCTACATCATAGTATGCTTCACATACAATATCACCATAAGCCATGCGTCACAGCATGCTCTTGGACAGTCGTTCGCCTAGTATGGTGTCGCACCAAGGTCGGCACCATGCGCCTGATGGGCTAGACTGCTAGACCGCCAGACTACCAAGTTGCCTTTCCTGCATGTTCTTCTTGGGACCATACTGACAGCATACAGAAAGCCAAACTCCTAGACACTGAGGCTGTAATACATTACCTTGGTTTAAACGAGGGAGCAGAGGATGGAGAAGAGGATTTTTCTTGAACACAAAGACCCCACATGATAGACGAGGTTATATACCATTGTGGAACCTATCCAATCTAATACCTCCCCACGCGCCCTGCATTCGCGACGGAAGCAGCGCGTCTATGATAGAAGATCAATAGAAGCATCGGCTCTCCGCCATTCATATGACGCCTCTTAATCACCCAACGTAAATTTCTGCGCCTAAACGTATAGAAATCGACAACGCAGGCCAACATGCATGACGCAGTTGGATGACTTTTGTCGTGCTCTCTACGGCCGAAGTGGCTCAGACGGCTCACGCGGCCACGCTTCTAAACGGTCACTGTTGGAAACATCAATATCCACGCGATCAGCCTTATACGCGGGGCCTGGTCGAAGATCAATCACAGACACGCGAGGACAGTTCTGCTCAAGTCTAGGAGAATTGATGTGCAGAACGGGTTGGGCCTTGGCTGCGATAAGCGGCTTGCCGCGTCGTCCACATTCATCCGCCCCTGGTCGATACAACCAGCTTTTAAGCCTGTCATGGCAGAATGCAGGTTGCGCGTTCCGTGTCAACAAGGACATTGATCACCTTGCCGTCTTCTAGAATGTGCCACATAGAGTGCGCTGATGAGTGGTAGTCATACGGGCACCAATTATTGCGGCTGTTGGCGAATGGCAGCCTGCTGAGCAGCCCTTGTAGATGGTACCCATCCGGTTAAGACGGGCGCAATATTTGGTTGCGGCACAGGCCTAGAGCATGTTGCAACTGACAGAGTGGTGGGTGGCTCAATCACAACGTTCGGGCCGACCTCCAAGCATGATCTGAGCGTGGATGTTCACAGTCGCTGAAGCCACCACTCCGTAGAAAGCTCTAGTCATGGTCGTGAGAGGCTGCTGAGGAGTGCCGAGAAAGCCCGTCGTAATTCTGACAAGCAGGCATGCTGATCGCAACAAGGCTAGCTTTAAGGTTTAGTGGCCAGTGATGGACGAGAAAGTATCGGCGAAGATGTGCTGCTCGTGTTTTCCCTTGTGGGATGGCGCCTTCGCCCCGCAGCGCGCCCACAAATTCCCCAGAGAAAGACTAAGCCAGGGTGGCAGGTGGCAGCTTACATCTGCCAGGCCGTCCCCAATTCTTCCGTCTAACCTTCCCACTCATACATCCTACGCATCCACCCTGACTAGTATTGCTTTATCTTCGTGCAGTCACGTCGTTACACGTCTAGCGATAAAAGCCACAAACTTCACAACACAATACGCGAACGACAACCGAAGATCGGAGCACCGGATGACAGAACGTGACACGACCTATCAGTGACCGCCCATTGGGCCTTTGGATGAAAACTACTACACCACCAACAACGCGCAACGAACGACGCCCAAAATGCCTGGGATACTACCCATGAAAGTGATCAAGGTCGGCTCAAGCTGCCAGAGCCGCATCGCCCAAGCCTGCGACCGATGCCGCTCAAAGAAAATACGGTGCGACGGCATCCGCCCCAGCTGCACGCAATGCACAAATGTCGGATTCGAGTGCAAGACGAGTGACAAGCTCAGCCGCCGTGCATTCCCCAGAGGATACACTGAGTCGTTGGAAGAGCGAGTACGGGTACTGGAAGCAGAGGTCCGCGACCTGAAGGATCTACTTGACGAAAAGGACGAGAAGATTGACATGTTATCACGCATGCACGCGCGCTCTCCAACAGCGTTCCCTACTGCCAGGCGACCCTCGATGCATTCACCGGGATCCTCGGAAGTTCGAGAGGAATCACAAGAAAAAGACGACACATTCAAGGTGCAGCAGGCACCGCTGCTACTTGACGACCTGAACAGAGATTCGTATTTCGTGGGCAGCTCGAGTGGAAGAACACTTGTTGGTATGACTCACGGTCCCCAACGCCGCATACAGCACATCTAACATTCCACAGAGGCGTTCAAGCAAAAAGCACAGGAGACGGGTAGACTATCCACCGACATCAACTCGAGTGCTTTCTTCGGCGCTGGAGCGCGACAAGCTTCTACTCTTTCTAAGCAAATCGTTTCCTTCAAGGCTCCTCCACGTCTGGTCTCGGATCAGATGATCAACATTTTCTTCCAAGAATGGGCACCTCTGTTTCCGATTCTCCATCGCCCCACTTTCTTGTCGCTCTACGAACAGTATGTGGCCAGTCCCGATACCATGAGTGACAAGAAGTCGATTGCACAACTCAACTTGGTTTTCGGAATTGCCGCGCTGTCTAGCGATGTATGTATGCCTTACGACACATGCCAGCCTTTTACTGACTTTTTAAAGCCCCGCGACGGACAAGATGTCGAGTCCTTCGAGACTCAATGGCAGAGCGCTATTGAGAGCTTCTTGATGGAGAATGACGTCGCAACGCTGCAAAGTCTCGTCCTTGCCCAGATCTTCTGTCTGCTTAGGGCCGACTATTCCCGCGTGCTCAAGTACAAGGGACTGGCCGTCGGCCTGTCGCAACGTCTTGGCTTGCATCAGTCACAGAAGCGCTTCGCGCTCGATGCACTGACGAGTGAAACACGAAAGAAGCTGTTCTGGTCGCTGTACACGGTCGACTGGTAAGCTTACTCCCGCCGAACCCTGCCGTTGCGTTACTGACCGTTCCTAGTCTCTCCGCTGCACACCTCGGGCTACCGAAGCTAATCCGCGAGGAAGATGTGCACTGCGAGTATCCGGTAGATGCCGACGATGAATACGTCACCGAGAAGGGGTTCCTGCCGACCCTGCCCGGCGAGTACACTAAGCTCTCCAGCGCACTAGCTCTCTTCCGCCTGTCACGCATCTTGTCTAAGGTCCTAACGGAGCTCTACCCCGGATCTGCATCACATGACATCTCCTTCCGCACTATTGCGTCGCTCTGCGATGAGTTGGAAGACTGGCAGAGCAACCTTGCGCCGCACCTCAAGCTGACGTTTGCGCAAGACAAGCCAAGCACCAACGTCACAAGCAGCAGATCCCCTGTTCTGGTATGTGAATCTTGATTCCATGTGCATTTTGAGAATGCTGACACAACTAGTCTCTCGCCTACCATCACATCAGGGCGTTGGTTTACCGCCCAGCCGTTGTTGCTAATCTTGGCGACAAGGGCTCGTCAGCCGTAGTAGCCGTTGGTGATGCCTGCAAGCATATCGTGCAAATTGTCGAACTTCTCGACGAGCGCAAGCTGAGCTTCTCTTTCTGCCTTAATCGCAACGAGGTACTTGTGCAAGCTGGCTTTGGATTGCTTTTCCAGACCCTGACGCTTGCTCGCGAGGGTAAGTTGATCAAGGACAGCAACCGACTCGTATGCTCCGTCATGGATATGCTTGAGCGCGGAAATGCTGCAGGCTATGCCGAGTTCCGTCGTGTCGGTTGTGGCATCGTGGCTGTTCCCCGTGTGGAGCAAATGCCAGCCCCACCACTGTCACGACACAACTCAGAGAGCAACATGGGAGCGCCTCTGGATACCTTCCGCGCGACACAGAAATCCCTCAAGGCTCTTGCCGCTCGCTTCTCACCAAGCGCCATGAAGGCCGCTCGACTAGACCAAGAGCCTCGCCGCGCAACTCTGCCTGCTCTCTCGCCCAATGTAGGCGTACATGCCAATCCTTCATCGACAAGCTTATCTTCCATTCGATCCGAGCCTCCTGTTGCCCGTTCGGAACCTACATTGAGCCCATTGTCACATCGCGCATCCTTCTCGATGCCGAACAAACGTCGTCCAAGTCAACCAACACCACAGCAACAACAACAGGCGCAACGCAATATTGACTATCTTTCGTTCGCCAGTGACCCACTAGCTGGCTATGCACTACAAAACAACCAAGGTATCAAGACCGAGGTTTCGTCATCCGACTGGGAACGCCTCCTTTCTTCACTAGACAATGGCCAGACAAACATTTACGACACAATTTACGGTGGACAACCAGCAGACGCCCTCGTCGACGTTGCCCCTCAGTCAGCCAGTACCGACAGCAATGTCACTTGGTCACCAAACGTCTGGAACTGGGGCAGCTACAGCTCAGAGGCACCACCACCTCAAAGCGTCCTCAGTTTCAGTGATGAGAGCTTGACCAGTGGAGAAGAGTTTAGTACCGGTGCATGTGAATATGGTTCCACGCCCGGCAGCGATAGACTCTACCCTGGTATCATGATTCCAGGCGACTATGACAGCACAGCAAATCTTACGGGCCTGGATACTACTTATTGCGGGTTGTAACTTGGTGCCTCGACGAGACCACGATGATACGACGGGTGTATATACAATGAATAGGTGTCTGGCGTATAGGATATCATCTAGGGTGATGTAGTTGGCTGCTTTTGAGATACCACGCTTCTTGCAAGAGCGAAAGAGATGACGACGTAACGGGGCAGGAAAACAATGTGTCTTCTTTCTAAACAAGCGTATATAGTTTTGTTAATTTGAATACTTTGTCATTTACAATCTGCTGTTCCCGCACTTTTCATCAAAACTCTGGTCATCTTCTCAGGCTCTCAAGAAGTTTCCCGGCAAAATCCGTCCATACCTACTTCGGATGAATGGAAGTAACTTTCCACATTCCAGCCACAAATATCCACGTACACCCCGCATCCCAGCTAGCGCACTAGCACGGCATTAAGAGACCCACATGGTTCGCACGTGGAGATTATGCGGGGTGGCCCTTTATCTGGGAGTGGAGACGTTCAAGGATTTCGAGATCGAGCCACGGGTGAACGAAATCATGGGGAGATGCAAACAGCCGGTGTGGCGTAGCGCTAGGGATGTATGGAGGGTAGAGCTGAGTAGAGTGAAGGACTCGAGCCACGTAATGGAGCGCCCATGGAGCCGGAGCTGTCATAACGCTGTATGATCTTAGCCTATTAGAAGAAGTGACAATTTTCAGAGACATCACAATGCGCAGCGTCATGATCGTCGAGTGCTTGCTTGGCTGCTACCGGATCGAAGATTTTGTGTGATAGTTACACGTCATACATCGCGATCTCTTTCCTACGATGGAAATTGTTATTGGAAGTTGAAGCTAATCGAGCTATTGCGCCCAATCAAAGTCACGAACAGCCCTTGTTTTCATCTCTTTTGCAAATCCGCAAGTTTGCATGATCCCGAACTGTCTCCTGGGGTCTGCTCTGGGTAGCGTGCAAACGTCGGAATGCGGGGTGATCAGACTAGGTCACACCATGTCGTCGCAAGCGCGCAAGGACTGGGATGCCAATCATCGTTACAAACGTAGCTATGGCGTGTGAGGGGTATGCAGTATCGGGAAGATTCGGAGAGATAGCGTGAAAGTCCTTGTTGCAAGAAGACTCAAGCATAGGGCAAGCTTCTTTGGTATTCACTGAGCTGTCGGTACTCAGTTTATTCCGTTCATCCTTCAACGTTCCTTTGCAGCGACGCATGAGGATGTGTCCGTAGAAAAGCCGCGTAGACGAGACACCCCTACCTTATATCCACGATGTCGCCGCCCTAGCGCAGGAACTCGGCGTTCAAGTAGTCGACAAAGACCTCCTTCAGGCGTGCCTTGGAAAGGCTGTGCTGACGGTTCATGGTGATGAATTGACGGCGAATACGCTGGAGTTGTGGCAAGGTCATTGGTGTAGCAGGGAGCTCAATGGGCTTCTCGATATCGGCAACGGCTATCTCTCCACCCCCTTCGCCAGGGTGATCCTTCTGGTATACCATTATCTGGGCGAGGATATCGGATGTGGTCTTGTCGAGCTCGTAGAGGTAGTTCTGCTCTGTGGCCGGTTTCTACTAGACGTTAGACAAGGTCGTCAATACGTCTGGGGCACGTACCAGCACTGTCGCAAGGTTGGGCTTGACCGTCTTCATCTTGCCGTCACTGCCTACCATGGCATCCCATATCTGGTCGCATGGCGGCTTCTCGTCTTCCTCGACCACGATGAACAGCGGGCTGTCCCATCGCGTCATGCCATTGGGCTCTTCGTAGCGGAAGATGAGGTTCTCAAAATCGTCGTCGTCATATCCACCGTCGCAGTCCTTGTCGGCTAGGAGCTTCTTGTTGTTCTCGCGACATCGTTCGGCGGGCGTCCCTATGTGCAGCTCTAAGACTGTCAACCGTGTGTGCTTGGGCTACAAGCATGGTATACTGACAACGCAGCTTGGGGTCTGGAGAGCCTTGGCTTCGCAGTACAACTGGTAGCGGAAACCCTTGATGTAGTTTAAGCCATCGGCGATAACGATGTCATCGCGCGACAGGACTCTTTTGACGGCGGAATATTCTTCCGCACGTGCATCCTTCTCGGCTTTGGCGGTATGGTAGACGGAGCGCGACACGCCCAGCGTCTGATCGTTGATGAGATGGACCTTTAGACGCGAAGTGCGCGCATCAGGGGGCGAGCTGGCGATCTTGGACTCGAAGAATTCCTTCAACTGGACGGCTCTGGTGGTCTTGCCCGCGGAAGGGAAGCCTTGGGCGGGTTAGCGAAAAATGGCGGGGGACATGGAGGGGAAGGTGGAACCTGAGATTAAAACGAGCTGCCCATGTCAGTAGGCGAGTCTGGGGAAGGTTCAACGAGGACTTACGGGCATGTTGCGAGTAGGGCGAGCAACTCTTTGCCTGGAAGTGGTAATCCGCGTAAAACTAAAGAAAGCTGGCGTCTCGATGCGATGGCAAGCGTCGGCAGATCAGATTGGCCTGTGACGAAATTCACGAGCTAACAAATCCGAGCCGCGGTCCAAGTGGTACCGATGGATTGTGTCCTTCCCTATCGCGCAGGCCATTCCTCCTTGCTTTTGCCTATATCCTGCTTTTTCTCTCCCTCTCCCGACTTCAGCCTCTACTGCACCACGTCTGGACCAGCTCGCACAAATTGTTCCAGGTTCGCGCAGAAGATCGTCAGTACAGGGTAATATCCACCTACCACGGGACTACTATTTACTTTACCCATCCCCTCGCCTCGCCCACTGTTGCAACCTCCCTACACTTTTACTCTCTACGACTCGCCTCTCGACGACTACCTACCACTCGCTCGCCGATTATACGCCAATTACACGCCAACTACTCGCCAACATGTCCAACTACTCGCAACAACAGTATGGCGCGCCTAGTCGACCAGCCTTCTCTGCACTCCAGTCTTCGAGCACGCCCGCCGCCGGCTACGCCAGCACATCTACTTCCAGCATCGCCTCACGGTCTTCGACCCAGTCTGCGCCGCCTGTCTCGCCGTCTACAAGCCCCCAGAACCACCAGTACTTTGGCTCCCTGAACCAGCAGTCGCAACAAGCACAGCAGCAGCCTCGTCTCCAAGCACAACGACATCCCAGCTTCGAGTACCAACCGAATAGAAACGGTGCCGGCCAGACTGCAGCTGAGACTACAAACTATCTCAACCAGGCTGCGCTGCTTGCCGAGGCTGCGAAACGGGCACAGATGGCTTGTGTTATGCGAGATCTTGACGGCATGGAGCTATAACTTGACCACAAGTTGGCAATGGATTTCTCGTGACGAAGGGAGCGCTTTCACGACTTCGCGTACAAGCATCGACATACTGCGACAGCAACTTGCCGGTTAAAGTCGGCCGTGAGCCGTCACTCCATCTGCATCTTCAAAACGGAGTGGGTCCCGGACATCAAAGTCTTCAAATCTCACGCTGTCATCACTCCACCATTCTCACCGGAACGTCGCCAGACCTTTCTCTTGAGTTTGCGGTGAAGAAAAGCGTCTCCGCTGCCCTACATCATACCGCCCGATATTCCTACCGTGGCAACTTTATTTCGACTGTACATACTTCCCCACTTTCGGACCGACTTTCTGCTCTAACCACCTTCCACTTTTCCTACACTACATTTCATAGCTTGGAGTTATATGGCGAAACCAACATCACACTGGCACCGTTTTGTCTATTCACGTGTCGAGTCCCCGAGTCTAGAATGTTCGGAGGATTCTAATAGCGAGTACATTGGGAATTTTTTTTAGATGGGATATGCATACAGATGCGGCACATAGATCAATGAAGACACTTGCCCGATATTGTATGCGTTATCTACACCTTGCTTCGTACCTGTACCGAGACGCACTGTTGCTTGCACGGATGTGCGTGTCGGGAAGGACCCGCCTCAATACATCACGATACGGCTCCAATGGTGAACGCTTGGATTAAGTATCGGACTTCGACTCTCTACCAAGGTAACATCACCGACATTAACGCATCCCGCAGACATGTCTAAGGACTGCATGGGATTTCGCTATATCCTAGGAGAGTGCATAGTCGTGTTCGATGACTACATCAACCGGTGCGTATCAACTTGGTACACAATCCATTCACCACACTACCATAGACGCAAGACAACTGAACAAGGCATGGGGAAAGATTATGAGTATTTCTACGAGAAAAGATGCATAAACAGACTTTTATAGAGGCAGAGGACGATGGCGTGCCTTGAAGGACCACGCCCTGTCTTATCTACAACACACAGCCTTGTGCGGGGTCCATATAGTTGTCACCAGCCAACCCATGCGAGCTGCAGGAGGGCTTGCATCATGCACATGTACATGGATCGAGACAACATCGCATTGCCGCGCAACGAGGCAGAATCATGAAAGTGATAAATGGTATGCGCACCACTTTCCATCTGCCTTGAATGAGGCTCAATAATATTCGCCCCAAATGTTCTTCTCTCCATCGGTTTCGATTGCACATAGGCACGGCTCCCAACCGTTCACTGACACGTCCTGCCTCGGCAGCGCCCTTTGGAATCGGAGGACCAATACCATGCCAACTCGTCAACATGAACGCCAACATCGTCGTCCATCTTGCTGTCGCATCGTGACAACGACGGTGGCTGCGATGCTGAGGGTGCATGGGCTGTAGATGTAAGAGGGCGGGAGAAGTCGACTACGACGATGGTGCCCAATGTGTTGTCATCGCTGGGACCATATGACCGACCCGGCTTGATCATGAAGATCAGGCGTTGTTCGTCGAGCACACCGGTGATGCTCCTTGTAGGTGATGGAGATGCAGATGGTAGTGGTCGGTTGAGTATATTATGCAGACGTTTTGAGCAGGGGCAGCGCGATGCTGAAGGGGGCCACATGCGGATAGGTGAATGGCGGTACCGTGTTTGGGTATCCAGGAAGTTGGGCTTCATCTCGTCGATTGGGGCCTTTCCCTTGCAGCTTGTGGCGGAGTAGTCAAGGCCCGATTCGCGTCTTGATCCTATTCTGAGCCTAAGGCAGGGCGGCTGGGAGGGGTCATTGCAGCAACGCTCGTCTTCTACGAGATCGACGAAGGAAGTGCATGCATAATTGTACGCCCTAAACTTTGTTCTCGCAAGGATGAATGACCGGGGCGAAGGATCGGTAGGAGAGAACTCAGGGTGTTGGCTCCAGCTATAGAGGTCTGGTGTGGGTTTCCAATGGGCGTTGTTTGAAGAGTCGATGAGGGGCACGTAGAGGTCATCCTCAGGCAGTAGCGGCTCATCGGACGACTCTTCCATATCATCCTCTTCTCTGAAGTCCAATTTAGTGACGTAGAACGTGCGTGATTGACGAGAAGATGCTTGAGCCCACTCTCGTCGTGATTCCACGATTACTGTCTCATTTGTACGCTCATCAAGCTGCAATGTAAGATCGGTCCACGAGTCGTGGATCGGTCCCTGTTTGTGTTGGCGCCGATACAGGCGCTCATCCTTAGAAATATCTTTTGGCAATGGTGACTTGAGTGGAAACCGGACCACGTGGTAAAAGGAAGTATAATCGATCTCTTCGACTTCAAAGGTTCCCTGGTTGGAAACGGCGTAGAAGTAGTCGTTATGTATTTCGAACGCGATCGTAGAGCCAATGTCAGATCCATGGAACTTGTCGAGCAGCACTGGTCTTTCGCGTTCCGCTAGCTCAGCATCCTCACAAAGTGAGATACCGTCGATTTCCCATTTAGAGTGGCCATCGTCTCCCACTCCAGTATGAGTGCCGTAGTATAGATAACGGGCGTTGTGCCTGACAAAAAGCTTAGAGCATCTGGCCACTTGTATCGATTCAATCACTCTTTGGTCATTCGGAAGATCTGCCGCTGTGTGGATCGCGATTATGTGACTGTGGTCTGAGCTATACTTCGGCGTGGCGTGCACAGCGAGTATTCCATCAGCATAATGAAGTAAGCGCAACCCAAAATTACCAGATACTCTGAACTTTGACTCTAGAGCAGGTCGCACAATAGCAGAGAGATCAAGATGGACCGGTTTCAGCTTAGTGCGGAGATCCGAGACATAGACCATCCCAGCATCGAATATACATATGGTCCCTTGACGATACACAAAGCTATTGCCCTGCTGTTCTAAGACGCGAGCTGAATAGGGGTGTGCAGTTGACAAGGCATTTCTCCTCTCATAAATAGCCTGAAAGGCTTGCTCGTAGGTATTTTTCTCATTTCGAGCTGAAAGTGCTTCTTCCGTGTATGGGTGGCTGATCTATAAGCAGCGTCAGCATGGTATGTAAGCATGTCGAGCAATTCGAATCGGCTTACTTCGACAGCGCGTCTGCAAACTGTCCTTTCGTCTAGTAAAGCCCTCAACTGTCGACATGTTTGACCAAGGTGAAAAATGTCTTCAAGATCCAAATTGAGGGTAACGCAAAAGAGTACGTCAAAAGGAAGTTGATCGAGAGAAGTAGTCATCAAAAGTGATGTAATACTAGAAAGGTGCTCGGGGACAGGGCGAAGAAGGCACGTGAGCAAGTTTCCATGCGAGTAATTGGGCCAAGAAAAAGCAAAAGGGTCTTGGGATGTACAATTAGAGGAAATAATTTGAGCTAACGACAGGTGGCGTTTATCAGCTGGGTAGTATTCGATGAATGCGCAGCAAGCATGGACGCCTTTGAATACTGAGCATCAGCAGAGCCTCATTTTAGCGTGTGCAGGTGGATGTCTATCACCAACGACTAGGTCGGAAATGATGCAAGGGTCGGCTCCATCTAGCGTGCTCTACCGTGTTCGTATAGCATCAGGCTGAGTTTGAAACGAAGAATGCCCGATGCTATCTTGCGGGGTTATGTCGAATTGCGGTCACAAGGTGCGACATTCCCATACCAATCAGGAAAATGCGATTCACGCAACCACAAAGGTTCTGAAATACGACAACCCTTTGTGCGACAACGGCGAGGGTGATGCATGCGCCAAGTGTATTTGAGCCTCATAGATGCTGACCTTGGGACCGATCGCGGTTAGCGTGTTGCGGCTCTGTAACGTCAGGTACCCCACCAAATCTTGCTCTCTCTTGCTGTCTCAGCCTTCCAAGATCCCCGCACTTGACAACTGATGGTCCAGAATTCGGTGCTACATGGCCAATTGGTAGAATGACAGGCTTCACAAGGTTTTCCGACTCTACCGCTTGGTTTGGCCCCAGTTATGCTATGCCCTTCTGTGTTATCGTAAATCCTCAGCCTCGCTATACGACCGGCAAAGTTTTAGCTGAATAACCGAGGACCAGCCTGATTCCAGAACCGGTCATGATGGCCTCTTTTGATGCCTGGCGCCGTGAAGCTGCATGCTCTACCAGGATACGTATCTTATCGGGCCTTGGACTTGCATGAGCGTAACTTCAGCGCCCTTGGCCCTAGTCAAAGAAGAGGCTGGTACAAGCTCGCGGAAGCGGGTATCTGCAGAGTAAATTGCAGTCTATCGAGTACACCCTATTGCTTTTCGTGCATAAGGGGCCAAAACAACAGGAAGCTTAGCGAATGGTTAATCGTGGAGTGCGCCGTCGCGTAGATAGCACATGCGGACTTCCGTGTGATCAGGTCTATTAGGGAGTTGCCGTCGATATGTTTGGTTTGGAAAACAGTGGAAGTTTGGTTGCGGAAGCCTAGAGCGACGGAACCATTCGACTAGATGCCGAAAGAGCATTCTAGTCAACACTTAGCCTCCATACCAACCAATGAATGTGCATTGCTGTCTCGATGGTGTTGGAGCGGCGCTGTATGGCTGTGCTACTCGTTTGCGCCTGTTGTGCTTTGTGAAACGGTATGACCAACTCTTACAGTGATCTGACCAACTTGTCAAGCGCAAACTTCGTGGCACGTAGTGACGTGTGCAGACACACACACAACTGATTACCAGAGCTGGTCGTGTCCCGTAGCATCAGGCTGAGATAGCCAACTATGCCAGTGGATGGAACAGAAAAAGTGAAGCGTAACGGCTGAGTCCTTCGGCCAGTGGATGTGCATGTTCGTACATGCGATCCAAGAAGACGCAGTAGCTTGAAGATAAGCCCACAGGTATGTCAATCACTGCTCAGAAGCAGCGCGCTGGCGTTCTTTGCCCTCCCAACCCACATAGGGCCATCCCTTTGGTAGGCTCGAGTAGGGTGGCAGAGTATATCGTCCTTCACAGCTTCCTTGGTTTGGACATGTCAAGTTGCAAATGCCAAATACCTTGCAGTAGCAGTCTTCCGCGCTTGGGCAGTGTACAGCAGGCTTACCGAAGATGACTATCAATGGTTTTAGCATGGGTTGTACGCCACTTCAAAAAGTAAAGACACGCAGAGCCTCATCACGTGGGGCGGTGGGGTATGGACTTACTATGCCATGAGTACTCAAAAACTCTGCCGCTAATAGCATCGCCGAGATCTGTCTGCATGATCCAGTCGCGATACTTCTCGTACTGCTCCTTAGTTCTCTCCCTAATCTTCTCTCTTGTCGCGGCGAATTGCGCACAGCAGCTCACGCCCACGACAGCTGGCACCTTGTCTCCGGGAAACAGCTGCTCAAAGGCCTTCTTATATTGTCCGCCAGCATGCACGGCCTCTCTGTGTTCGCCTTCCTCGGCAAGAGGCTTAATCTCGCTTGGGCAGCCCAAGGACCATGCGCAACGTATATTCACGTAGCCTTCTTTCTCAAGGTAAGGCAACTGGAAGTGGCGGAGCATCGGGAGGCCGTCGTAGTCGGGATCGTCGTTGTGCCATTGGTAGCGGTTTGGGTGGATGAAGAGGACGTTGTCGGGAAGCGACGCGTAGTGATCGATGATGTAGCTGAGCAGGAATCTGTTAGCTTGCGAAGTATTCAGGACGGAAGGCGCGACCCAGTACGTACGTCAGATAGACCATACTCTCTCTGCCCTTGTTCTTGGGTACCGTAAGCGGCGCGTTCGCGTCGTCTACGCGATAGATGTTCTTCTCCCACTCTGGGAAGTACTCCTCTAGCCACGTCGCATTTTCAGAACTCTGGCTCGCGACGACCACCGCAGTCCGACGCGCTTTGATACCGGTATTGGCCTTTAACAGCTTCTCTTTCGGGTCGTGCGATGACTCGCCCGGCTGTTGCTCGTCGTAGAGTTCGTCGGGAAGGTGTGTCAGAGTGGCCGATCCAGCTGCAGCGGCATTCTTGTCCCAGAGCTCAGACTTGAGATGGACGAACAGCGCAGTGAGGAGTATGACATTAACCAGTATGACAGCATTGCGAGCTGTCATTAGACGGGGCATGGCGCCGCAAAACGAAGTACACACGATGTTTGCACAACGATCTCGCGCAACCTGGGAAATCTGGGGCACATCACATGCGAACAGGGGCGATCGCCGCTAATCGAGCACCCGCCGCTATCAAGCTAGTCAGGGTCCAAGATCCACCATCAATTCACTCTTCCCCTCTTTATTACCGTTATTCACGCATGCACTGGTAATAGATATCGCCATTGTCTTAGTCCGTTATTGAGCATCCGCTTTTTCTTTTGGTACTACGTCTACTTGCGAGGCACCTAGGTGTAAAGCTCCTCAGTGACGGCGTTCAGTCCCACACCTTCCTGCGCAATATCTTCTTCCTTCAAGAAAAGAAGGGGCATCTCCACCAAATTTCCCTTGATGGTGCTGAGCATCTCCTTGACCTCGCGTACGCCTTGCTCGCCCTGCCCAAAGTTCTCTGCAACCACGTGGCCCCATTTATACATGGAAGGCTTCTTGTTCTCCTTTGCCTTCTCGTCCTGTCCGAAAAACCGGGAATAGTATTCATCGTACTGCTTCCAGTTCTTGACTTCGTCGCTCGGCACAGGGTGGAATATTTTACCGAAAGCTTGTGTGTTGGTGTGCGCTCTCCAGTTCCACAAGTTCTGGAAGTCATCAGACAATGGATCAACGACTTGTCGGTCCTCGTTCGAGCCCCAGTCGTACTCATTGGGAACACCGATAGGCTGGTAGTTGGCTGTCGGACGCTCCATGTCCTGAGGCTTCAGTAGACCGAGGTGCTTCCTAAAGAGTTCTCTTCGTAGACTAGCAGCGAACTCTGATGCACGGTATGGCCGTCCGTCCATGTAAGAGTCGACCGGCCTAGGGTCTTGAATGATAATCGCAATCTCCGAGTCGTGATCGCCGAGCTGGGAACGGTCGTTGAGGTTTGCAGAGCCGCAAATAACGATCTGGTCATCGGCGATCAAAAGCTTGCTGTGGATGTACAATTCCTCAGACACGAAGGCGTCCATTTCATCGGCAGCACTACCCTCCCAAGGCACGCTACGGATGTCTTCGCCGCCAAGCATATAACACTCGCTGACAGTGTCCCAGCGTCCGTCGCCGAGTCCTTGACGACCACCAATCTTGGCTGCTTCCTGCTGGTAGCGATCGTAATCACCTGGTCTGCCCTGACTCTGCGGGCCAGCATCGGGTCGGCCGTGAGATGGAGGACGACCGGAACCATCCATCTCGTAAACGCCGTACTCCTGCGTGGGCGGTGGACGATAAGCCTCGTAGCCACGAGCGTTGTCATGTGCTGCGTCGTAACCCTCTGATGCTTGATTATACGAGACGCCGCTGCGCTGCTCTGCCTCTTTCATGATCTGACTAGAGTTGATGCGGTCGTAGCTGCGAAGGTTGTAGAATCGGATGTAGTCCATAGGGTTGAATCCAGCTTTAGCAATTTCCTCGTAGATCGAGTGACCACCGCGGTTGATTGAATCGTACTGGACTGTACTACTGTCAGCAGAAGACATGCAGAAAGAATTCATGTGACTTACACTCCATGATAGCGCGAGTACCCAGGGCTTCATCAAGCTTCAAGTCACCAGCAAATGCTGGCACTGCGGGAATCATGACGATCATCTTGTACTTCTCGCCATTACGTGCAGCGCGGATGATGCGTTCGACCATAGCAGCTCCGATCTTGTTTTTGATCGGCTTCTGTTGATCGCCGGTAGCAGTGATGAAGAACTGGTTTTCGATGTAGATGAAGTGCTTGCTGTTTCGGATGACCTCACAGTAGGCATTTTGGATAGAATGCTAACAAATTCATCAGTCGGTCTCTTTCCAGTGGACAGGGTCACTTACCTCGGTAGTAACCAAGTTGTGGCTCCATTTGGCAGAGCTACGAGTAATTTGACAATCCACACCACCTTGCTGGGAGCTATGTTCCGCGTGGGACTGTTGCTGGCCATATTGCGATCCATGTTCTTGGCCGTACTGTTCGAACCTGCTCTGCATCTTCTGGCGAAGGTGTCCACCAGCACCGTGTCCGAACAGCCCTCGCTCGCCCTCCTCCTCGCGACCAAAGCCGCGTTCGCCTTCCTCTTCGCCTTCAAATCCGCGCTGTTGCATGGGAGCCTGTTGAGCTCCACTGCTAGTTTCTGGTAGTCTGGCGTATCTAGTAGCCTTTTTGCTGTACTTCTCGTCATAGATGAAGTTCCAGCGTTGCGCAAAGTGAGTACGAAGATCCTGTACGACCGGGCCAGAGACACACAAAGCCACGTCAGACCATCCCATACGAGAGCTTTGTGTCCTATCGAGTTTGTTGTTCTCCCAATTGGTCACATCCTGGAAGTCTGTCAGGTGTTAGCAGCTTCCCTTACGCACGTAGCTTGCAAGTGACTGCCTATCTGTCGTCTTCCAATTTCGAGGGACACGAAGAAAAAGCGACTCACCGAGCATACGGGCGTTATTAAAATCCTGGCCTGGGAACACAATGCGGTCGATGTTGCCAGGATGCGCGTCAGCGATTGCGTGTTGGTTGGTGTCCCAACGACCATAGCAGAGATCCAGTCCGCCCATGAACGCGATGTGGCCATCAATCAGGCAGAGCTTCTCGTGATGCGCCCAGTACATAACTGTGCCCTCGTGAGCACCATAAATGGCCTTGAGACCGTCTCCAGGAAGTTGGGCGAGTTTTGCTGGGGTGAAAGACATGTTTTTCATGGCTGCGAAGAAAGACGATTGCAGTACTGCTGCGTCTGGCAGATGATCGGGGTGTCGGAAAACGCCAATGTTAGGATGAAGATCTTCCAAGTGGTGCTTGGTATGAGCTGAAGAAACTGTAATAGGAGGGGCAATCAGCGGATCTGTCTTTTCCCACTCTTCAAGACTTTTAAATATGACATCTAGGCCGACTCGCGTGAGGCCTTTGGTGAACCTGTCCGTCGAACTCGGTAGGAGAGAATGAAGATAGTCGGGTAACGTTGGATTTAAAAACTTACGAGTCAGAGCTTGGGTCACTTCTTTGTATACAATGATGTTGACCTTGACACCGCGTTCCGCTGCCGCTTGCAGCATCCTATCGACCCGGTACTGTTGGTTCTTCGCTGGTGGTCGACGGAGATACAGCTCGGGAGAGAGCCACCAGTCAAGTATCCATATCGACTCTCTGGCGCGCTCCAGAGCTATGGAAACAGCATACATGTAGCTACCCGATATTAATTGATCGTTTTATAGCGCATGAGGACACTTGAGACTTACCTGCACCCGTCGACATACCACTTGATGTCATTGCCATGACGTTCAGGCGCGAAGCTCGAGAAGCGGTGTTGCTCGTGATACTCTTGCCCAGGCTGTGGCTGCCCTCCCTGTTGTTCGTATGTACCCGGCGGGGGCTTCTGCGCGTTGTCGTCTCCGGATATGGCATCCTTGAGGTCAGAGACGAAGCCGTGAAGCGGGTCGTGGATCTTCTTGAAGAACGACATGCCGCCGCTGCCCTGGTTTGAGGATGAAGATGAGTGTTGGTTATTCTGTGGTGTCAAAGTCAGGAATCAGAGGACCCAAGTCAAGCTACCAGATACGCGTGTCGTCCCTGCAGCAAGCTAGGCGGTGAAGAAATAGAAATAGAAACGCAAGATAGGCGAGGATGGTGAATGACGAGGCCAGCACAGCGCTATGATTGTCGATAGTGGGGCAATTCCACTTCCTCAACAGCTTGATACCTATGAAGCGTACAATGACAGCATGGCGTTTCAGAAGAATGTACTGACCTCTTTTCTGCCAAAGCCAAAACGCCGACCCATGTCACCTACAAATCCGCGATCGCCCTCCTCGCCTCCCTGCCCATGGTAGTCGCCATATGCCAGATCATCATCTCGGCGAGACATTGTGCCGGAAAGAAGCTTTCGGTTGTTTACCAGTCGCGCAGAAGGTGTGAAGTCTATGGAATGTTGCTAAGTAAAGCTCCGGAGCTGGAGTTCGAGGTCGCGATGACCCCGCGTCATCATCAGCGGCAAATGGGGCATGCATATGCCAATGCAGGGAAGCATACGAGCTGAGCATGTGAAACAGACACCAATGGAGTGCACGCACCCTGATCCCCCTCTGTTGGCCAGATGCCAGGATCTAGGATCTAACCCCTCATAACACCCCACTATGGAGCTTCCCCCTCTTCTTGACGCCCTCCACGATACTACGCGACGCGTGGTTGTAGCAGTCTACCCACCATGTCGCATCGCGAAGAGAGCGGTACTAGAAGCCCTCCTTACTGTACATAACGCTTGTGCGATGGTTCACACAACTTGTGGGTCGCAATGGAGATGCGGCAGCGCATATGTATGACGTACCCTTGTATCATCGGCTGGCTGCTTAAGATGTTCGGCAACTGGAGAGCTTCTCATCTTATCTCCCCACGCCGTTACACAACACCACTGACATAACCTCTTATCCAATTCGACATATCTTTGATGATGGCCCTCTCTTCTCGACTTGCAATTTCTGCCAGATTGGCCTCTCGTACATTGGGATCCATACGACCAGCTGTACCTCTTGCCGGTACCCGGTGCTTCCACTCAACGCCTATCGCCATGGCGCAACACCCGATTGCGACTTTGAACGTAAGGAGAGAATAGAGAAGTATAGAAAGATGCTGACAATCTCGTAGGAAGAGCTCATCCCTCGCCTTCCATCTTCCTCTCCAACGCTCTTCGAAGCAAAAAAGAAGAAGAACCTATCCTTCGAAGCGATCGCAAAGCACGTCGGACGTGATGAAGTTGCAATTGCCGCACTCTTCTACGGCCAGGCCATGGCCTCTGCCGAAGATATCAAGAAGCTGTCGGAAATCCTGGAGATTGACGCCGGCCTGCTCGAATCGCAGTTGTCAGGCTTTCCCAACCGAGGCAGCACGCTCGATATGCCACCAAAGGACCCCACCATCTACCGTCTCTATGAGATTGTGCAGAACTATGGACAGGCATACAAGGCGGTTATGCACGAGAAGTTTGGTGATGGCATCATGAGTGCTATCTCGTTCAGTACAAAGGTAGAGAAAGAGACTGACGACAAGGGCGAGTGGGCCAAGATTACACTGAGGGGCAAATGGTATGTTCATATGAGTTTTCCCGAATGTATTGCTGACCGGTATCTAGGCTACCATATTCGCGATTCTAAGTGGATCGTATTAGCAATTAAACTCGTGACCAATATCAAGTTTACTCTCTCTTTCAACTATGTCATAATGCCATTACTAGTAACAATCATTTAATGAGCTTCGGTGCCATGTATAGGCAGAGTATTAAGCTTACCTAGAATACATGGCGGACGGCATGAGTAGCCAGGGAATCGATCGAGATGAAGACGGTTGGCATCTCCAGTTCATGCTTTTGAAGTCTGAGGTCGTTGGTGTTGAAGATCGCATTGCGTAGACAAATCGAGGTTACTGGCTTGGAAGTTTGTTTGTTATTAGCGAGGATGGCAACTTCCCGGGTGAGAGTACACACCCAACGTTCTTGCCTACCTATCTTGAACCCTCCTTCACCTGTCATTCCTCATGCTTGCTTAGTTCAGCCCCACACCACACTCACCACTAGCTGTCCCTTAGTTTCTCAAATCCGCTAGACTACAAGCTTCTGTCCTTTCTACACCACCATCTTCACCACAAACGCCCAGATAACACAAAGCTTTCTCTCAGTCTTTGTCAGAAAATCGGTCAACACCACACTAGCTGTGCTTCTCTTCCAGGCTACCCCAAGTTCCACAACTACTGTACCTACGGGAGGCTTCCGTCTACTGTCGAAGTCGGTGTAGCAAGTTTAAAAGAATTACTAAGAACCGCCAAAGTAGGTAAGGCATCGACAGTCAACACACAATCGCTCGTATCACTGCACAACCAGGTAAGTACACACTGCAGTACTCGATTTTTTTGAGTACTAATTATTCGAATAGAAGACAAGCATAGATCATCTGCTGTGAAGCTCCCTCGTTCCACAAGAACTATCTGTACGGGAAAAGTGGAGATGCCAACCACACTCGAACCCATTCGGCGGGTCAAATGCACGTACGCAGACTGCGACATGTCTTTTGACACAGAGAAGATCATGAAGAACCACAAAAAGAACTTCGACGATCACGAATACTGTCACAAGTGCGACGAGGATTTCGAAACCTTTGAAGACTACGCCATGCACAAGATCACACGGCCTGAGGAGCATGGACAAGCATGCCGCGTCTGTGGCGACGAGTTCAAGAGCACGTCTGGCTTAAAGCGTCACATTGAGCGTAACCACAAGGTTGATCAGGAGCTTACCTGCATCGGCTGTCAGAAGTCCTTCTACCGTGCATGCCTCTTCATCGAGCACCTCGAGTTTGGTCACTGTGAGGTCATTCAAGCCTCCCAGTTCCAAGGCCACGTCGTCCATAAGCATCTCGTCGAGAAATATCTAGAGGACGGTCCAGCATGGAACCGATTGCAGCAAAAGATGTCCAAGTACGAGGCAGCTATCGACGTAGAAGAGGTCGGAGGTGTTCTGCTCAGCGATGACCCCATCGATGACAGCACAGATATTGAGGACGTCCAATTCGAGGCGATCAAGCCCGATCCTTCCCTAGAAGATCCACACACTCCGGTATTCAGCGGTCACTACCCTCCTCTGCCTACTCAGAGCGGGTTCATGTCGGGCGTAGACATGGAGGTTGCATCGATGATAGACGGCATGTCTTTCAACGGAGACGTCGATGTCGACTCTGATGGCTCAACGGTCATCAGATCTCCTGCTGCGTCCAATTTCCCAACGATTCCCCCATCACCTTTCGGATGTGACGCTATCCAGAGTCAGCATGGCTCTTTCGTTCATGATGGTTCTAAGGTTCAGGGCTCCAGTGTTTCTTCGTCCAATCATGAGACCAAGGTTTGGGGCCCTCGCAAGGGCAAATCAACAGGCTCTATATTGTTTCCGAACGCCAAACCCAAAGCTCCTCCCAGTGACTTCTCTGTTTCTGCACACGATGAGGCTATGGAGCATGCACATGGTCCCAATCTCTTTCGTGATCGCTTCTGGGATCCGATGAGTTCCGACTGGAACCCAGAGAGGTTCTACGACTCAATCGTCAACAAGTACTATTGTCCATTCGTCTGCGAGTAAGTTTTCTTCTCCGGCTTTCTTAGTGCTTCATCGTTAACGTAGTAATAGGCAAAACTTTGACATTCGCCAAGATCTCAACAACCACATTCTCGTCGACCACCGCATAACACGCGTGAAGTGCCCCAAATGCCTCAAGTACTTCAAGTCTGCCACCGCTCTCATGGCTCACTGCGAATCCCATGGTTCTAAATGTACCATCAACCACACTGATAACTTTGGCGTCTTCCTCGACAGGATGTCCGGTGGCTTCCTTGGTGTACAAGAGAAGATCCGCCCTGATCATCTCAACACCCGACCCACCTTGCGGAGGAATGCGGAGACTGGGCATATGGAGATGTACAAGCCGCCTGTTGCTAGTTATCTGCAGTATACCGTCACTACGCCTCCAGACTGGAAGAATCCCGTACACTCGGCCATACAGATCGGTGGTATACCCAGGAAGTCACATTGGTAAACGAGTGCTTGGTTGTTCATGACAAGAGGCTTTAATTCTCGTGGGCGATGTATACCTCTGGGTGGACTTTGGCGGGCAATGATAGCAAGTGCATGACACATTCACTGGCTTTATGGAGAATTATCACAACAGCGTGGAAAAAGTTTCTGGTAAGAAAAAATTGCAATCCTTTAATATTGCTATGTGGTATCTATGCTTTGCGTCCCATGTATGCCAGACCGTTGATGAAATCTTTATGCTCAAGAACCAACTCATTCACTTCATCTATCGATGCTCTCCCCTCTACAGTATCCGTCCAACAGTCGCTTCGCCCATAAAGTGAGCCAGGCTCGCCGGATTTAAACTCCTCTTGCTAGGAGTCTCGGTCGTCGTAAGGTTCAGACTACCCATATCACACCACGACACACCCTTTGTAGTGATGGGCTAGGGTAAAGTTAGCAATCCGTACTCTTCAAGGGTAACATACAAGGATACACGTACCAAGCAAGACAAATGCTTGCACCAACTACAAGTATTCCTCCATTCGTAAAAGTTTCTCAGCAGCAGGATAAAGCCTATAAAGACTGCTACCAGACCGCCAGCACGTACAAGCCACCACGCCCACCAGAGTGGCTTGCGACCTTTGAAGAAGCCAACAGGTTGTTTGACGAAAGCGGTAATCTTGCTTTTGGATTCTGTAGCAACCGGCTCGTGGGCGAGGGGCTGAGTATCCACTGTTGCATACGGCGGTTCGCTTTGGCCTGTTCTTGCGCGCAGCGACTCGGGTGAATGGATGATGCAAATACCCAGAACGATTCCCATGAGGAAGCCTCCGATATGGGAGAAGTTGTCTAGACCGGGGAGTAGACCGATGACGAACGCGATGGCCATATCGAGGAGGAGGAAGAGTAGGTCTTTGACCGGACTGCGGCGGGTGGACCAGTTGTATAAGAGATCGAGCATGGTGAGAGCTAAGACACCAAAGAGGGATCCGGAAGCACCAACAGAAGTGATACCATCGGGTGCGTAGTTGCCACCGAGCACAAAACCGAAGATACCGGCGGAGAAATATACGAGTGCGAACCGGAGGGGACCAATTTCCTTTTCCATGTCTCGACCTAGTGTCCACTGTAGAAGCATGTTGAAGCCGATGTGAATAATTCCTGCGTGCAGAAATATAGGAGTAATGAAACGCCACCATTGGTTCGGCTCGTGGCTTCTATCCTTGAAGTCTGTGATACCCTCTTGGTTGGGGACACCACCGCCCATGCCGCATAGTTCAGCCAGCGTGCACTTGTTATCGGTAAGGGTGGTGGTATTCGGGCATGGCCATTGAAGGACGGGCCCACCATCGGCTTCGATAATTTTCTTGATGTTGTGCATGCAGGGTGTGAAGCGCGCGCCCATGTTGATCAAAACGTAGGGTGAAGGACCGATCATGATGTTGAAGTTTGGCTTGGTTTGGATGGGGCTGCCTGTCAAGATGCCTATACGCTGTCAGTCGGTGTCTACGTCTCCAGATATGTTTGTACTGTAACAACATACCATTCTTGATCAACTCCCCAACAAACACGCCAACTTGCACCGCCGTAAGAAGATAGACCACCCACGTCACTCTGCCACTGAACCAGCCTTTCTTCTTTTTACTCTTTCTCCTCTTGGGTTCTACGCCCATGCCGTAGTACTCTGGGTCGCCATTATACCGTGTCGGACTACTGCCATCCATCTTCGGCTGTGTCTGGAGCGGTATCGCGTTTTGGTCGGCGAAGGGGTCTGGCTGCCGCGCGTACGGGTCGTTGATATGTGCGGTCGAGCTATACTGTGTCGGAGGTTGGTATGAGGTATTTGAATACGATGTATCGATGGGGTAGCCGCCGAGCGCACCGCTGCTGGCTGTGTGTGTGGGATAGGGTCGGTCGTCAAAAGGCGAGCTGACGGGCGAGACGGAGTGTTGTGTGTGGTTGCCGGGTACTGGAGGCAGAGGCGCATCGTTCCTGTCGTTCGACTGCCCCGGGTGGGAGTTGGCGTAGTAGTCGTTGGCCGCCATGATAGGCAAGCGCTGGTAGTGGTATTAGGAAGTCGCCAGGTTGCACAACTAGATGCGCTCTGTAGTAGAGGTAATGCGCTGTGCCAACGGGCGTGGTGTAGGCGAGGTCGGTTATGTACAACAATGAGCTGTGGGGTAGACGAAGGGTTTGGCCTTGCTTAAGCTGGGGCAAGCAACGAGGGCGGCTGCGAACAAGCTTTGTACAATCCCAGGGGGTCGTTCGGTGTCTCGGAAATGCGGAAGAGGATAAGAGCAGTTACTTGGAAACGAGGCACCGTTATTATATGCCAACGCAGAACACAGATGCAGCACAGAAGCGAATGTGTAGCCTGAGAGGCTGAGAGTTGTGGTTTGCGTATGCAAGGCCAGGGCTCAGAAAGCGATGGATGCGCAGCTCAGCCCCAGCTGTGGACCGGTAGGGATGCGTGCCCTTAGCGACTAAGCGTCGATCTGTGGCGTAGAGGTACTATTAATAAGTGCCGTGCTCGCTGAAATCACCGACATGTGCGTCGAGTTGACGCAGAAAGTGGCAATGTTTGAATTTGCGCATCAATATTGTATTTCACATTATATTTGGCTGACTGCGCGCGGTACAGAACGGACTACCCCTGGAGCTTATGGCCGTTACGCTTCCACTTCCAAAGGTGGAGCTGCAAGGCGCGCTAAATGACCCACTTGTTACGCGGACAGTGAGACATGCGTCACTCATGCGTGGCAGACACACAGGTAGGCTGGAAAATACTCCCGATGCAGGGAAAATCTGACTGTACTCGAATTACTTCATCTACAACGGCGGTAAACTCTCTCTGCAGTTTGGACACATCAATCGATACCTCATCCACCCTTCGAGACATCCAGTGTGGAAGATGTGTCGACAAGGCGTCACCATGTACTGTCGCCTTTGCAAAATCATGCTCGTTCCACCCATGCCAGCTACACTGCTCTCATCAGCTCCAGCTGGTATGACTGGTACTTCAATGTCGTTGGCACAGATACTGCAGTCGAAAACCTTCTTGCCTTTGGATTTGGACTCGCCTGATGCTTTAGTGGTTTCACCCTCTGCCGCCGAAGCATCAATTGTAGATGGTGATTCCGACGAAGTCGTGATGTTGAGCGGCATGGTTGCGCCTTCTTCGTCTTCGCGTAGAATGGGGTGGTAGTCGTATGCTGGCGGCGCCCATCCGTCTCTGACAAAGAATCGTGAGCCGAGAACCTCCTGGCTCACCAACACCACCACTTGCATCCATACCCAGCCTGCCAAGAAGCCCATGGCTTTCCAGTCCGTTCTTGAAAACAAGACATTGTCTTCTTTCATGTAAAAGTATGCTACAGGCGCGATGCGGGCTATGCTTGTTCCAGCAACATAATCCCAGCGTAATGCTCGCCGACAGTTGCGCATGATATTACGATAGATCTGCGGTATCCAGAAAGACAGGTAGAGAAACGTCATGACGTCGAAATAGACAGCACGATATGTCGTGCGAGCAGTACCGAAGTGGATAGTCACAAAGAACAGGACTATAAGCATAAGGCAGAAGCGGCTATACAGTGCACCAAGCTCAGCTCGCGGATTTGCGTTCGTTGTCGTGGCATTGGTTGGCGTGGGCGCATTGTTCGGACCTGGTGTGACATCTTCATCCGGATCGTCTTGATCTGGTGCAATGATGATGGGAGTAGGTGGACGTGGTGGTCGAGCGGCGGTTGCTGGCAAGGGCAGACCGGCATCGGCAGATGGTGCCGAAGTAGCAGCCTCGGGAGCTGGAGCCGGCGTCGTTGTGGTAGCTGTTGGAGTTCGTTGCCGCTCCTGACGCGCTCTCTCCGCTGCTTGTACGGACCAGATGTCCATAAGGAAGCGGAGGTGGGTCAGTACAGAAAATAGCGCTATGAATGCGATACTGTACAGCGCCAACTGTGCTGTACCGAGGAAGAAATACATGAAGATGAGAATCAAAAATGTGAAGCCGTCGCCCAGAGCCATCATAGCAATGGTGTAGAAGCTGACTCGACTCCGCATTGATGGCGTTGCTGTCTCCTTCATCTGCTTGAGAGTGAAGGAAAGCTGGAACGCAAGACTGATGGCGAAAGCTAGGATACCGTGTCTAGCGCGAACATTGAAGTCTTCTGTCTTAGAACCGACCAGATGCATAGCCTCCGATGGCGGAAAGTCTGGAGGGCCCTTTGACTCAATAACGAAACCGCAATCCGGCGAGAAGCCCACCATGGACATGGCATGTGGAACATCGTGAGGGACAGGAGCTCCAGTAGGAAACCGGAGCTCGTGCTCGAGCCAGTCCATGTCGACGTTAGATTGACTTGGGAACTCTTGAAGATACAAGACGAATTCGCAATGGTGTCCCTGGAACATGCCCTCATTGTTGCCTTCTGCAGCAGATGTCCAGGGATTCCAGAGCGGGAAAGCTCTCTTCTCTTGCCGTTCAATAGTCTCATGTATGGTCCAGTTCAGGAACTCTTGCGATGTTGAGTAGAAATAGGGTGTGACCTGCAGGTGAGGCAAAGCGAAGATGCCCGCGAACCGATCGCTCGTAGTAGTCAGAACCGCAGTCCCGCTTTTCATGAAATGGACACCATGTGCCACAAATTCCCACCAATTCCCTCCAAAGCTGTCTTTGTCTCCAATAATCACTTTCGCGCTAATCTCGGATATGGTCTTGTTCTCATTTCTCCGCATCCTATCTTCCAGCTCTGAAATGTGCATTCGCAGCGGCCCGCCTGCACCGGTTAGGTTTCTGTCATATTCTACCAGATTTCCAAAGGGATCGGGGATGGCCGAGGCATTGCCCATATCGCCGGGGTGCCGTATGCGACTCAGCGGCGAGCGCGTCCATTCTCCTTGTACGTAACCAGATAGATTCTTGTATACCGGCATAGCAGCCTCTCCCTCTTGCAGTGAGCCATCAAGCATACCCTTCCACCCATCTCCCAGAAGGCGCTCTGACTGCGCCTTTGCTTTCTGCCTCACAGGGTCCAGTAGCTCCCATGCAAAGCCATCTTCATCCCTCAGCCCAGTGATATTCAGCCACTTGTCCTTTTTCTCGCTGAAGTCGCCGTATCGCGTCCGATTCAAGAGATCTAGCTGGTAGTATTCGCGCTCGATGAGCTCTCGGTAGCGTGTGCGCGCATTGAATGTCGGCTGTTGCGGTTCGGGCGAGTTGATGAGCAGCAAGAGGATTATGAAGAAGAGAAAGGATCTCGGGTCTCTTCTGGTTTCCATCAGGGTGGTTTCGGGCGTGCATGAGCCGCCATGGAGCGGGTATGCTGGAAGTAGGGTATGCAACGTTAGGTAGCGTTGGAGGGATGACGTGCGCAGATCCGAGGTCGATAGGCGTCAACGTTCAGGGTCCAACACGACAGCTTGGCAAAATCCAGCTTTCACCACCATATTCAAGTCACTTATTCAGAGTTCGAGTGTATATATCTATCGATTTCGACCAAAGGGACAAGAGGGGTATTGGGTCAATTGTATGTACACCGGGAAAACGAGCAAGATTACTTCGTCGTGACCTATCCTAACACCTGCAAACGCCTCCATGCTTGAACCTTTTCTTCGTACGCATAAGCCGTGACTCTTTCAAATAGCATAAAGACATAAATTGCATCTACTGCATCGGTCCGCCAATCACTGGTGGCGCTGCCTCCAGGTCAACGCGTTGGACCGTCTGGCGCAAGTCGTTGCTGCTGCGGACAAGGTTGCCAAAGTACTTGCGTGCAACTTCAGTTTCCGCCTTGAGCTTGGTTGTCTCCTCCTTCTGGAGCTGGAGCTTTTCGACGTTCCTCTGCAGACCGATGCGTACATCGTTAGCAGGGCCTTTGAGTGCGCGCCGAACCTCGGAGCTGATGCGAAGGGCGTTGGAGTGTGTGTAATCGATCGCCGCTAATTGTTGAGATAGCTTCGCGCTAAGTCTGTGAGGTAGTGATTTAGGCACGGACGCCAGTACGTATGATACTCCGAGAGCGACTGCTGATATTAGCATAGAACATTTCATACTCGTACGATTGACTTACCACCAGCGATGAGACCAGGGATTATCAGTCTCCTCATGTTGCTTGTGCCCATGACCTTTGCAGCACCAAGAGCACCGTCTACCCAGCCGACACCGCCGACCAATCTGCCACCTACTACGCCGGCAACAGTCATGGCCATACCGGCACCAGCGGCCTTCTCCTGGCGTTCCCACAGACTGGCGATGTCGAAGAAGTCCCACAGATCAATATCGATATCCACTTGTCGAGCAAGAGCGTGCACTGACTTCCTGAACATCCTCTCCGGACGGAACATGACGTCGGCATACAAGTTGTTGCCGAGATGTAGGACACCCAAGTTTTTGATGCCGTTGTAGCCCTGCACAGCTTGGGTTCGAGCGTGTTCTTCGCACAAACGGACGCTTTCAGTGACCTCGTGGAGCATCGAGTCCCTGATGTCCTCAGCGTACTGGTATGCTGAGAACAGGCCAGGGTAATCGATGCCAAGATCCTGTTCAGCTACTCTGGCAATGCAGTTGTTGAGCGTGTCTCGAGTGTAGCCATAGACGTCTGACGTCGTATCTTCAACCATGCGATCCACTGCCTCTCCAGCTTCTGTCCGTGACTTCTTGGACTCTTCAAACTCAGGCTCGAGCGCTTCGATCTCCTTCTTGACGCGGTCCAATTCGCTCTGAGACACATCTCGGTTGACTGTGGCTAGGTTGTTCATATCTCCTAGTACGTTGAGAAGATAAGTCTTTGCGGGTGCAAGTTTAGACCTGGCCCTCTTCTCCAGCACGAAACGTCGTAACGAAGCCTCAAGATCGGCAAAGTCGCGCTGCTTCTCTGCCTCCTTGCCCTTTCCTTTGTCGGATGGATCGTCGTCACCGTCGTCATCAGGGGGGCTCCCACCTGCACCCATGGGGATGGCGTTACTAGAAACGAAATGTACCAGCTCGCTAGACTCCTTGAAGGTGGCCGGACTGAGGTTAGCAACTTGCTTTAAGATCATCTCTTGGCAACGGTTCTGATCGCGAATGGTATCGAAGCCGTTGACTACCATGAACATGTATGCCTTCTCGCGCGCTGCGGTGAAGATAAAGTTCTTAGCGGACTCGGTGAAGTGATTCGCAGCAGAAACGACAAAGACGACGACATCAATCTCTTCTTGGCGAGCGAACACGGCGGTGGTCTTGAGAGAGTCGGCGTTCAGACCCGGGGCGTCGATGAGAGCGATGTCGACCACTCCGTTGTTCAGAAGTGATTCGTCAACATCTCGGATGTCTTTGATGTAGATCTTGCACTGTGCGAAATGATCGTTGTCGATGACAATTTTCTCCAGATCCTTGATATCGAATACAACGTACGTGCTTTCGTCGTTGCGGTTGTACGTCGAACCGATGGGAATTGCGTGAACCTCTTCGACACCACCGTTCTCCCGGAAGTCAAGAACCTCGCAGAAAATGCTCGTGCAGGGCTGCTGGTCTTCGGGCAGGACCTTACGTCGGAGGAGGGCATTACAGAAGGTCGACTTTCCAGCGTTCAAGTCTCCCGTGACCAGGACCTTGCTTGACGTATCTTCGATACGCTCCTTGAGAGAGAAGAGGTGGCGTATGCTCTGTTGGATCTGGCCGTCGAGGAGAGACGCAACAGAGTTTTTCTCCAGCGAATGTACCAAGTCTGTCTGTGTTCGGCCGCCCATGCGCAGTTCCAGCTTCAGAACGGAGAAATCGTGAGCAAGTTGGGGCGTAACCAGTCGAGGCTCTTCTCTACGCTTTTGCTCGGCGGCAGCGCTCGACTCAGCGGCGGGGTCATCTCCAATCGTTGTGCCCGCCCGGCGGGGTCCTCGAGGTCGTTCGGGAGAGCGCATATCGGGGTCGAAGTTGCCAATCGCAGACTGCGTGTGCTGCAGTCCAGGCCGAGATTCGCTGCGAAGGTGCGCCTTTTGTTTTTCGGCCACCTGTACCGAGGGGTAATGGGCCGGCCATTTCAGATTCATTTCTTGGAAACTCTTCAATGTCTCGATGGTGCCGGCGATCGCCCGACCGAGGGCGTTTTTGTTCTGGTTGTATCGCAATTGGAGCACATGGCTGCGCTGTTTCTCGACTTCGGCGTTTCCTGACCCGGCAAAAGACATAGGTGATGGCCTATCTTCGCCAACGTTAGACCGCCAGTTCATCCCGCTGCTTTCGCCATCTTGCATACTTCCGCCATAACCAGAGTCCTCGTCCAACATGGACACGAGACGGGCAGCGGCGTCGCTTGTGGTGCTTCCGCCGCCAACCGTCATGTATCCAGGTCGAGCATTCTGTCGCGGAACAAAGTCATCTGACCCACCACGACGGCTGCTGGAGGACTCTCCAGACGAGGAGGGCCGGCCGTTTCGTCGATCGGGATTCATCGGGGTAGTTTCGTGGTTTGCGCTATAAGGAGGGGCGCATGTCGTGATAGATACGGAAGGGGGGTGGTGGTGTTGTAGAGCGGGAGGCGGTGTCGGGAAAAGAATGCTGAGACAACGTCAGAGTTGGTGGTGCACACGCCACCACGCAAGCAAACAGGGATTGGCTGTCAGTGACCACTACGAGTCCACTACCGCGGCTCTACACGTCTACGTCTCGTGTGCGTCTAATGTCTGGGCATTGTTTCGATGCAGTAGTTTCACTTGAAATTCATATAATTGTATTGCTTTGATAGCGCAATTGCTTAGAGGTGGGTAACTGATAGTCAGTTCCTCCAAGGCTCGGCATCGCCATACCTGCGTATCTTGCCCTCCAGCCCGGCGGAACATCAAATGACATAATCGGGCAAGGCAACACCTTTTGCAACTTTGACCTCTCTTGCGTCTCTCAATACAACTACCCGCCCAACGTAGAGCTGGTCTCTACCACCTACTCTCTAGTTTAGACGAAGTGGCCGTATCAGCCGCTACCCGCTGCACCTACTTCCAAGTCTACCCAGCTATCCTCACCAACCTTCCTGCAGTCTACTCGCGACCATGAACGTATGTATACCTAGTCTTTGAGCGACATCGTGTTTGACAGCAATGCCAGATCGTAGAATGGGCCTTCGGAAAGCGCATGACGCCGGCGGAGCGACTGCGGAAACACCAGCGCGCACTCGAGAAGACGCAGCGAGAGCTAGACCGCGAGCGCGTGAAGCTCGAGAACCAGGAGAAGAAGCTGGTGGCAGATATTAAGAAGAGCGCGAAGAATGGGCAAATGGGACCTCTGCGCATTCAGGCAAAGGATCTGGTGCGGACACGACGGTATGCCGAGCCGCTGCTTGTCGCATGGCTACTTTCACATGGCTAATGTTTGCGCAAAGATACATCCAGAAGTTCTACCAGATGCGCACACAACTACAAGCGATCTCATTGCGGATACAGGCATGGCGACCACATACTGGAATCTGGGCACAGCTGACGTTGGGCAGACAGTACGCAGTAATGAGCAGATGATGCAGTCTATGAAGGGTGCAACGAGTAGGTTCATATGTTATAAATCTTGCCAGACGTACTCTAACACACTTCAGCACTGCTTGGGAGCATGAACAGGCAGATGAACCTTCCCGCGCTTCAACGCATTGCTATGGAGTTTGAAAAGGAGAACGATATCATGGACCAGAGGCAGGAGATGATGGACGACGCCATCGATGATGCCACCGGTATGGAAGACGAGGAGGAGAGTGAAGACGTCGTCAACCAGGTCCTGGATGAAATAGGCATCGATCTTGGCCAGGCTGTGAGTACTCATCCATCACCGAAAGCGCATTCACTAACGTTACATAGCTTGGCGAGACGCCCAGCGGACTGCAGAAGAACGCAGTACCTGAAGCTAGGGTGGCGCAGGCTGTCGGCGGCGGCGGAGCTGACCCGGATGATGACGACCTTCAGGCACGCTTGGACAGCTTGAGGAGGTGAGGGTGAAGTGCTAGTACAAGAAGCAACGCTGGAGGTGCCCGTGCAGTACTCTTGGCTAGGTGTCAGCACTCGTGGACATCAGATTGGGCACTTGAATAGAGCGTGCGACGTTGTCCACGTCCCAGAAACATTATGTGTCCTTTTGCGCATGGAGATGTCCGGAAGATTTTGGACGTCTAGATCCTCATGATATTGCGATAGTCAAGGCCGGCGGCCGTACATGGAGAGTTTAGTCAGTTCAGGCCGGCTCCACCGTACGCGCCGGCCTGCATGCGCTTGAGCCTAGATCATGCGGATCGTAGCCCAAAACCCTGGAAATGGCTTTGGGTATCTTAGTGTTGGTGATATATCAGAGTCACAAGATCGTGTATCTGTTCTGCTCCCTTGCCTCCCCATTCACAGTGCCCAGCGTGGTATACGTAGGCGGTGCTGCCCTTCCCGACTAACTGCGTGAGATCCCCCGCACTTCCGCGAGAAGAGCAGTCGGCATAGACAACTTCCCACTGCGCACTTGTACCTAGCACCCAGCAGCTCACTGCCTACTCCATCCACGCTATACCGGCGATCGTCCAATCTCAACCCTGGAACGTGCCCGCGCCTTGCCATCCTCTCCCAGCGTCAAGCCCTCTTCTTGCGCCAATTGATATTTCCGGTTGCTCGCCCCGCTATACACCTCCGACGTCATCACACCTAAGAACTCCATCTCCCACGACTCTTCCCCTTGCGTCTGTGTACATCCTTCCTAACATATTCTTGTCACTCGAGCCCCGCTTATTCACTTTCGCCGAATCCGCTGCCGCCCCCAACTGCATCACCGTCGCCAACACCCAGCCAGCAAACACCAGCGCCATCAATCAAGCTGGCAGGTAACAGGCGTCGGAGCGCCCAGGGAGGCTTGCTCTCAAAGATGTTTGGGAATGCAAAGGACGACGAGAGTTCCACCATTGGCACTCCTGCAAGCAATGACGCGCCACAGCCCACCGCAGCCCCGGCGACAGACAACGGAGCTGCAGGCGCAATAAACACGACCAGCAACGGCTCCGCTTCGATAGATCGCAAGCCCAGTGATGCTTCTGCGCCTGCTGAGAGAAAACGACGGAGTAGCGGCGTGTCGCGTGCCCGGGACATGTTCTCGAGCGCGAAACAGTCGTTGCATCTCGGCGGCTCGTCAGGCTCTCCCACCTCCAGTACCTCCACCATGTCAGAAAAGGCCTCCCCTCAAACCCCCATGCAGAAGCTCGGCAAATCCGATGCTGCTCTCAGTGTCCCCCAAGGCTCACTCAACAACTCTGCCGGCGAGTCGGCGCCTGGCCCACGATCCACCTTCCGCGTCGGTGTCACAGAGGATAAGAACAAGAAGTGCAGACGAACGATGGAGGATACCCACGCATACCTATACAACTTCCTGAGCACTCCGGCTCCCTCTTACGGCGCCGAGAAGACACGCGCCATATCCGATGCCAGTTCGACTCAGTCGGATGCTCTGTCGCAAGCCGTAGTCGAGACCGACAACGGATACTTCGCCATCTTCGACGGACACGCCGGGACGTTCGCTGCCGATTGGTGTGGGAAGAAGCTCCATTTGATTCTGGAAGAGACAATTCGAAAGAACCCAAATACCCCGATACCCGAACTACTTGACCAGACCTTCACCGTAGTCGACCAGCAGTTGGAAAAGCTTCCTCTGAAGAACAGTGGTTGTACCGCGGTCATCGCTGTCTTGAGGTGGGAGGACCGAGTGCCTAACGCTCAGTCGTCTACCGGCTCGGTCCTCTTCGCACCCGCGGCAGTATCGGCTATCAAGCACGCCGGCGAAGGCGAGGCCAGGGACGGGGCTGATTCCGCTGTGGAGCCTGCAGCTGAACAACAAGTGGAGGCGAGGTTACGGAACGAGGCCAGTCGACAGCGCGTGCTGTATACGGCCAACGTGGGCGATGCGCGTATTGTTCTCTGCCGTAATGGCCGAGCACTTCGCCTCTCTTACGACCATAAGGGTAGCGACGAGAACGAAGGCCGTCGGGTTGCCAGCGCTGGTGGTTTGATTCTCAACAACCGCGTTAATGGCGTTCTTGCTGTTACACGAGCACTGGGGGATGCCTATATGAAGGACCTGGTCACTGGACACCCGTACACCACCGAGACTGTTATCCAGGCAGAGCAGGACGAATTTCTCATTCTTGCTTGCGATGGAGTAAGTAGTCCATCAACGAATATGTAACATCTACTAACGAACACAGCTCTGGGATGTCTGCTCCGACCAAGAAGCTGTTGACCTAGTCCGCCAAGTCCACGATCCCCAAGAAGCATCTAAGAAGCTCGTCGACTATGCCCTCGCTCGCTTTTCTACCGACAATCTTTCCTGCATGGTCGTACGCTTCGACAACAAGGCACTCCGACAGCGCAAGAATGACGCCGCCATGGGTGTAGATGGCGATCAGTCTACCATGAAGGGCGGAATTACCGAGGCAGACGCCATCGTGGCACAAGCGAAGAAAGCAATCGGCGAACCAGAAGTACCGGTCGAGGCTGCAGCACAGGAAATCATTATGGAGGAGGCGGAGGCAGAGCCAGGTCCTGAGCTGAACATTGACGCTGCGAAGGCAGCTAGGAAAAACGACGTGTAGTTTTGGACGAGGACTGTCTAGTATATGGAGGCTACAGCTTGGGAGGGCATTTTGGGAGGGACAAGGGTGGTGTGCAATGTTTATGGGCAGATGGCGGCAGTGTATGATTTCTAGCGTGCCTGAGTATCTGGTTCCGGGACCAGGTCTCTTTCGGGTGCATTCCCTAAGGTTAGCCGTATCTCACAGCTGAGCGCTTCAATTCAAGTTCGAGCGAAAGTAAAGTAAAACGTATGCAAAGCTTGTCCAACGTGCTCGTTTGCCGCCTGTTTACCTACATGACTGTCTGCCCCGCATGTTTGCGCATTGACTTCCCAGGTTCACGATGCGCTAATGACGATCGTGGGGCGGGCGTCTACCTGCATCCTCTTTCACCGCATTCGAGAAATCCTGCCTCTACTAGCCCCCGATCTCCGCTATTCCCGTCCCCGAAGCTTGGATTACTGGAGTCACACGCTCCATGCGGCTCCGAGGAGCAACGCGATAATCATGTCGGGCGTCGACACGGCAGACTCTACGACCAACGCCCTCTCCAACGATGCGCGACCCGCCTTTGTGACGCCGAGGGACTTGCTCCAGCAGCCCCGGGCGCCCTTGCCCCCAAAAGAGCAACCGCGCCAACTTTCAGCCGTTGACCGCGAGCAACTCGACGGCTTGGTGCGGAATCCTGTGTCGCGTATGGTCGCAGCGCCAGCTGACAAGAGCTAGAGAACCATCAGAGCTTTCCTCAAGGCCAGAACAAGCTATGACGTCCTACCCATAAGCTATCGCCTCATCGTATTCGACACGGCGCTGCTAGTGAAGAAGAGTCTGAATATATTGAACCAGAATGGTGAGCTTGGAACCTTGTGTGTACAAAGCAAGAGCTGACGGCTGGCTATAGGAATCGTCTCAGCGCCGCTATGGGACTCCAAATCCTCCACATTCGCCGGACTCCTCACGACATCCGACTACATAAACGTCATACAATACTACTGGCAGAACCCAGACGCTTTGGCGCGGGTAGATCAGTTCCGCCTAAACAGCCTGAGAGGTAGGTGCTTTGCTTCCACACCGACCACCAACTTACACGTACAGATATCGAGAAAGCTCTGGGTGTCAAACCCATAGAAACAATCTCCATACACCCCGATCGACCCGTATACGAAGCATGTCGCAAGATGCTTGAGTCACGCGCGCGCCGCATACCTATAGTCGACAGCGATGACGAGACACGTAGAACAATGGTCGTCAGCGTCATCACCCAATACCGGATATTGAAGTTCATCGCGGTGAACGTCAAGGAGACCCAGAAGCTACGGAAGCCACTGAAGGAGCTGAATGTTGGCACGTACGAGGATCTCGCGACTGCATCCATGGACACACCGGTTATGGACGTCATCCATATGCTTGTTAAGAAGAGCATATCAAGCGTGCCCATCTTGGACAGAGCAGGCACCGTGCTAAATGTCTTTGAGGCTGTAGACGTCATCACACTTATCAAGGGCGGCGTATACGATGACTTGAACCTGACGGTCGGCGATGCGTTACTGAAGCGTTCAGACGTGAGTATCCATTTCTTTCTTCCATTTCTGCGTATTTCTGACAGCAGCAGGACTTCCCTGGTATCTTCACCTGTTCACTGAACGACAACATGTCAACCATATACGACACGATCCGGAGGTCGCGCGTGCATCGATTCGTCGTCATAGATGATAACAATAAGCTTAAAGGCATGGTAACCTTGAGCGACGTTCTCGAGCATACGCTACTCGAAGGCATGGAGGACGAGTAGAACGACGCGATCCTAGACCACGTGTCAGCTCCACACGCAAAGTCACTCAGAATGTATGAGCAGAGAATGAGACGATGCGACGACTGAACATTCCACTGATTGGGTGTCGAGCTCACGAAAGCATTTCCAGATACATCCTATAACGAACTGGGGTTATCGAAGAGAGCTGAAGATATTGTAGAAGCGAAACTGGCTGAGATTAGTGCACGATAAATGGTCGTAGCAGAAGTCTCACAGATACTTAAATCATCATATTCATAAGTTCATCCGAGATGTGTTTCCCGCACTTTCTTTATGCACATATACTCTGAAACCCATTTTTTGCATACTTCTAGGTTCCACGTTAGCAACATAAACTGATTGTGATCAGGTCGTCAGAAACATCCAAGGTGCCCTGGACTTAACAGGAAACAACTCTACTCTCATCCAATAGACTTCACACGTCCTCTATTACTACATTTCGTCTTCAGCGAGCGCCAAAATCTGCGCCCCGCGCGCCTCTGACAATTCCTTTTCGACGACCGCCTGGCAAATGTATGCAGCAAAAGCCTCCATACGCATCGCGTGGTTTCTATGCTGCGAAAGCAACTGCACCGACACCTTTTCCACCAAACCAACTGGAATATGTCCAGCTGCTTCTTGAACTTGGAGACCGAGGACTAACCGTGCTTTTCGGATAAGATGGCTGTCTGGCTCGCTCTTATGGTATAAAGCAGACATTGCATCTGCGGTCGATATTTCTTGATACATTCTCATTATCATAACCTGAGACTCTATATCTCCGTGCACAGCATCATGTACCATGTCCTGCAGCCTTTTTATTTTCCTTGATATTTCTGAAGGTTGACTGGCAGTCCCGGATTGTCGTATTTGAATCGTGGAGGGCGAGACTTGTAAGATCGGTACAGCAATCGCTAAGACATCGAATTCGAATACTTCACTGCTCTCTACACTTCCAGGACTAGGTGTTGAGTCTTCATTTTCGATGGCCACAGTGGGCCTTGGACAAGCCGTTAATGTGTTGCGATCATGGGTGGGTAGATATGGGGGAACGCCGAGCGAGTAGTCCACTGGGCTGGAGAATGGCCCAACCAGATTCGATTCAAAGAATGAGTCGGAAGATAGATCGGTGGATGAGATGCTGCTTTCGGATATACTGTTGATGCTGGTCAGGATGTGTACGCGTTGCTCGGTGGGAATAGAGTCTATGGAGCCGATCTGGGCCGCTTCTTCTGCGATTGTCAACCTGCTCCCAGTATCTGTATCTCGATTATCGGTATGCAGTGAAGATGCCACCATACTCGATCTTATACGCAATGGCTGTTCACAGTCAGTACCAGCTATGTTGTACCTCCTTCGAAACGCTACTCACAGGAACGCATAGTTCCTCCTCTGAACCACAAGCATCGCAAATCGATGTCGAAGCACGATTGCTACATCCCTCACACCCATCTTGCTTGCAGTAGAAGCCCGCTCGCATACCCTCATTCAGATATGGCAATTTAGCCTCGGGAAGGTCACACTTCTTGCACCGGCCGTGCCGGAACTTGTGGCTACAGATCCTGATCATCGTGGTATCAGGATAGAGTCGAAGGAATTGTACAAGAAAAGTCTTAATCCGGCAGTAGAGATTGTGGTGTTTCTCTACAAGCATAGGTGTAGGAATGGATTGTGGGCCTATTCCATGCTCGATCTTCAGGGTTTCTTTGTAAATCAAAGAAGGAGAATGTGAAGATGGGGACGCAGGAGGAGATGACTCGGGAGATAGGGAGCATAGCGTTCGCGTACTCGCAACCATGAAAGTGCCATCTCGATCTTGTCTGCTTCGAAGTGGTTTAATCCTAGTGTTTCGACGATCGAAGTTGCCGCCGAACCTGGCATCATATCGTAGTTTATTCTTTCTATCGTTTATGTAGTCGTTGGAAGTGGCCGATTTGAAGACCGCACAGGTATGTATCCCGGCAGTGTCATTATAACGAGCGATGATATCCTGATAGTCGAGGTTAGCAAAGCTCTCTGAGCTTTGATGTAGTTGCAGATCATGGTTAGGTATCCCCCGGATTTCTGACTGACAGCGATAGTGGGAGGGGACTTGGTAAATCGTTCCTGGTATGCCAGGCGTGGTAATGCGATGAGGGTGTATGGGGAGCTGGTGTGCTGTCGACTCCATGGTTATCAGGTTACGATATGCGGTGGAATCTGCTCGGGGGTGTGATGCAAGGTTGCAGTAGGTGGTGATTAGGGAGTTCGAATCTGTCAGAATACTCAATCAAGAGAATACTAGAAGAATTATGCGATGAAAGTTCCAACGATTTCATTTGGTCTGATCCCTTGTTGCCTCGTGTCAAACAATTACAGTAATGACTCGAGCGAAGTGGATATGGTCGCTCCCTCCACTGTAAACCAAGTAGCCGAACGTGGCGGTGGAATTACTACATTTTGAGAAGTCTCTTACGAAGTCATCATCGAACCTCTGGGTTTTTTAGTGGTCGATGTCAAAGCAATGTTTCTTTGTCCAGATGTCTCGCCCAACTGAGAGACAGAGAGACAATGACTATGTTGAGCCGAAGCCTCCAAAGAACTTCCTTCTAACACTGGTAGATACACAGAAAGAAGTCCGCGTCGTGCATGAAATACTTTAGTTTTGTAACAGGTCGACCGGAGCCACGTCTACCTGCATAGGTAGGTAATGCCATTCTGCACGTGACTAAGGAGATCGTGAAACTATACCCTAGATAGAGCCTTACAGAAGCTCTGCCCCTTGTACCCACATCTACCGTTTAAACGGTGATTTGAATCTATAAGTGCAGGGGCATCCGAGGTCGTACCACCCTCAAACTTGCAAACGCCTTCGGCAACTCGGAATAGAGAAAAAGGATCAACATTGGGCCAAAGAGACCATCGGATACCGCAATACGGACTTCTGTGTTGAGGGAGCACAAGGCCTCGTATAAAGGATTGGTACGTGGATCAACGAATCGAGCATCCTCACCTCCCTAGGCATGCCGAAAGAGTCGTTGACGATGACGAAACGCGCTAAGACCAATGTTTGACATGTTTGCAGCATGACGCAAGCCCAGCCACGCTCCTTTCCAACAGCGCGGCCGAGATTCGAGATTCCAACACGCGCGCCAGGCCGGTCGCAATCACGAAGATCAGGATGTGATGTGGCGCGCCTTTGATTTGACATGAGGTCCTCGCGCGTGACCGGCTATTGAGGGTACCTGGACGCAGCTCCACCCACTATGTTCCCAAGATCGATTGGTATGTCGATGGCGTTATCGAGCTCAATTAAGGTTAAATCAAGGTATATGCTATGATTAGGCCCCACTCTGGGGCTCGCTGTAGGTTATCCCGTTGGTGTAGGTGTCCCGTAACACGGGCTGTGGCTGGATCTTGGGTAGAACAGGGACAAACGCAGGAACCTACGTCACTGCCCGCGTGCCTTCATAACGCGCCAACACGGGCTCTTTGACTCGACGTATACTCACGATACCAAGTTCCCTCGCCCACTTCATAATCCCTACTTTTGCAATTGATCTTGATAAACCACAGTCAACATGGAGACCATCACCAACCTTGCCAGCACTGCTGCCACTACAGCCTCGAAGCTCATCTACGGCGACCAGCCCAAGACCGAGGAGGCGGTCGAACAGACCAAGGACAACGAAACCGCAGGCAAGGAGCCTATCTCAGGCGAGCAGGGTCAGGGCACTGTCACTCAGCCCTATGACCAAGGCAACCTTGGTGCGCCCCCACGAAGTCTCGCATTAGACGATCTATGCTGACCCCGCTTCACAGCAACCCCTCTAGCCGCAGCTGACAAGGGAACCTTCCTCGACTACCAGAACAACGAGACTGTCGGCAAGGAGCCCGTCTCTGGTGAGCTTGGCAAGGGTACCGTCACGGAGCCTTTTGACCAGGGCAACGATTGTGAGTATTCAACACCCCGCATTCGACATATGGGCTATCGACAGGGCAGTATGCTAACTACCCCAAAGCCAAGGCGACTGAGAAGGCAGCTGAGAAGACTTCCACCTCAGATGAGTTCCTGAAGCTAGATCCCACCACCCAGGGACCGACCGAGACCAAGGCAGAGACATCGACCGACCCCAAGATCTACTCGGATAGCAAAGATGCATCCTACGTTGGCATGCCCATCGTTCCTCTCAACCCCGACGTTGCTACATCCAACACTGACGCCTCTTCGACGGCCCAGAGCACCGGCATCACAGACAAGGCTGGAGTTACCGACAAGATTTGGAAGGAAACACCACTTGACGACATCAGTCGCTCAGGTGCACCAGGCGCCGGCCCTACAGCCACTGGATCTACAACCGCCACTTCCACCAGCCCTGATCCAGCCATCAAGACCACTGCTCCCGACTCCGTCACAGCTGGTTCAAGTGTGTACGCAGCTGGCGCCGGTACAGAGACAAAGACCGATGCCGAGAAGCTCTCTGAGAACCGCGACACTCCAGGCTGGGCATCAACAGGCGTTCCTTCCGACAGCAGCAACTTTGACGCAGCTGCCGCTAAGCAAAACGCTGCCTCTGGTGGATCAGAGTCCAAGGGTTTGTGGACACGGCAACCTGGACATAGTCAGGGCAGTACTGACGGTGTTGCAGGTTCGGCTGGAGAGCATGTAGGTCGCAAATCTGAATCGGGCCGTAAGTCTGAGTCCACCGACTTGACCTCGTCTCCGAGCAACGAAGAGAAGGGTGGCAAGATGTCGCACTTGAAGGAGAAGATGAAAAACAAGCTTCACATCGGTTCCAAGGACAAATAGATGTGACACGCAGGGACTGACGATCTTGAATGATGATGGGCGAGATATGATACCACGGCAGTAAAATGCCACTTAATACGAGAACAATGCTCGTAATGTACTATTCAAGTAGGAATCTAATGGGTTGAGCTCAAGTTTGTCTGTGTCGCTTGTCCAATCATGTTCGTGATACAGCCTCGTGGCACTAACTAAAGCTAGCGTCGGGCTTACT